GGTGTTAACATCATAGATATTTTTACGCTTAGAAATGTTGAATTTTGTGCCAAAAAAAAGCATTTTTAGGAAGTTTTAATTATTTTGAAGAAAAGTGCTTCTGAATACTTTGGGAAGCTTATCGTGAACATGCTTCATCTCAAGATACTTGTGAACACTGGTCTAAACACTTTAAAAGTGATGATTTCTATGTGAAAGACAAAATAACGTCCAGGTTAACCGAAAAAGTTTGAAGACCAACAATTACAAGTGTTTATTGGATGAAGATGAATGTCAAACTCAAAAATGACTTGCAAAAAGATTAACATTACTCAGCAAACAATTTCCGATCGTTTTATAAGCAATGGGAAAGATTTTAAACGAAGGAAAATGGGTGCCACATCAACTGAACAAAAGACAAATGGAAAACCGAAAAGTCATCAGTAAAATGTTGCTTCAACGGCACGAAAGAGAGTTTTTTTGCATTGAACTGTGACTGGTGATGAAAAGTGGATTATTTTGAGAATCCTAAATGCATAAAATCATGGGTTGATCTAGGTCAACCATCAACATCAACTTGCAAGGCCAAATCGCTTCAGGAAGAAGACAATGCTCTGCGTTTGGTGGGATCAGGAAGGTGTGGTGTATTATGAGCTTCTAAAACCAGGTGAAACAGTTAATACTGATCTCCTACCGACAATAAATAATTAATTTGAACCACACTTTGATCGTGAAAGGACCAGAATGTTCCAGAAGACATGGGAAAGTAATATTGCTTCATGATGACGCACCATCACACACTTCAAAACCAGTTAAAGACACATTAAAAGATCTTGCCTGGAAATTATTAACCCACTCTGTATTCACCAGACCTTGCTCCTTCAGATTACCACTTGTTCTAATCCATGGCACATGCACTTTCTGAGCAGCACTTCAAAACATACAAAGAAGTGGAAAATTGGGTCTGTGAATGGTTTGCCTTAAAACAAAGAAAAGTTCTATTGGGATGTTATCCACAAATTACCTGAAAGATGGGGAAATGTGTAGCTAGCGGTGGACATTACTTTGAATAAAGCATTTTTGATGTTTCTCTTGCAATTATCGTGTTTTCTTTAATTACAAAATTTGCATTATTAATTGGTACACCTGGTATATATGTCTACTCACACAGCAAGAGCACACAGACTCCTCCATCATTTTACTTATTACTAGAGGAAAAGGAAAGTATTCTGACTAATACCTTCTGATGGTGAATAAACAGCAAATAAGATTCCAGAGGGAGAAGGGAGATAAATAACAAATCTTTCCTGTTCCTCAGCAGACAAACCATTCTTTCCAAGACTGTGCCAATGGCCATATCACTGTTGAGTTGTATCATTGCACTCTTAGCAAGAAGTTATCCAAGATACCCCACATAATTGTCTTCCTATTTGTGTAATTATTATTCAGGGAATTAATTTGACTATCTGGAAATAAAAAGGGGTAATTATATACAATTTATTTTTTCCGTTTTGAAGGTGCTCTCATATATTCTTTAATGCTCACAATAATAACCAGAGGTAGATAGCTACCACCATTTTACAGATAAGGTGATGGAGAGAATAAGAGATTGTTAAAAAGTTGTGCAGTCATAGTTAGGATTTTCACATTTTCTGGTTCCCTCTTTATAATTATTTTAAAGCAAATGTTACTACTAAAAAATACTTAAATGGAACTGGGGGGTGGGGGAGTATGAATGTTTTAAAGGTGGAAAACAGAAATGGCCTTTCTAAAGTGAGAGTACATCAGTGATTGTAGTCTGAAAGATTTTTATGTCATCTCCCAGGATTTTTTGTTTGTTAATCTTCACCCAAGGATATTTTCCCATTGATTTCTACAGAGAATAGAAATGAGGGGGAAGAGACACAGAGAGAAATATCAATGTGAGAGAAACATATTGATTGGTTGCCTTCCACAGGCGCCCCAACCAGGGGTGGGGATCCAGCTTGTCTGCAACCCAGTACATGCCCTTGACCAAAATCAAACCCAGGACCTTTTAGTCCCTGGGCAGACATTCCATCCACTAAGCCAAAAGTCTAGGGCTAGTTGACAGTATTTTTAATGAAAAACCACTAGAGGGCTCTGCATAGGCATGCTAACGTGAAAATGAGGATGGTATTTCAGATCAACTCAGCAAATTAGAAATTTTTTATTTTTCTAAATTTCCCCAATTTGGGAGGGGGGGGGGGGAGACGCGCCACGTTGATAAAATGTAAAGAAGGTCATGCTAACTATAACTGCCTTCATTATTGCTCTATAATCTATTATTTCAGATTCAATCACACATTTCCCTTCCTCAGAAAAGGCCCTCACTTTACATCAAGATTAAAATATTTTTCCTGCAACATGGCTTTAGTACTGACTACCCTCATCAGTATTTTTCCCCTCTAAATAGACAAGTTTTTAAGAGCAGATTTAGGCTCAAAATTGAGCACAAGGTATAGTTTCCATATACCTCCTGACCCCATCTTTCTCTGTTTTGGAAACATCCCTTTGCCAACTCTGAGATACTGTACTAGAACTGCTGATATCTTGATTCAATCTATATTAGCTTTTTATAAACAACTAGCCAAACACACTCATCCCTTAAGGTTCTACTCAATCATGCTAGCAGGCTTTTACCTGCTAGATTTCATTAGTGATTACTAGTACATTTAAAACATTCAAGCCTGATGAGTGTGAAGGAAATCAGTAATCAGATCTTCCAACTTTCACATGTACTTAAGAAAATGTACTTTCCATCAAGTTTAATCATTTAGTGAATCTTAGTTAAGACTTATATACTTCCCAGAAATTGAGAAAGTAGGTTTAATGAGTGGATAACATTCTGCTAAACAGATGTTTTCAAATTTTCTGTTTTCAATAGAACTAAAGGAGGACCCAACCAAACTGTCAGCTGATTATTAAGTTTTTTTCTTGTTGATCACCATGTGATTTCTGGTGTGGAAAGGAGTTTTTTAAAAAGTTAAGAGACTGCTATAACAAAACCGCTTTCATGTGCATCTTCATATGAACAAGGTATCTAAGCTTACAACTATGAAAAACCTGGATATTATAATAAAATTCTGTGGAGGAAGCAGAATAAAATTACGAACTTAAGGAGAAAAAGAAAAAAAAATTTCCATATTTTATGTATTTTAAAATAAATTTTGATAGGTATCAGATTGTCATTAAATTTAGATTTCTTTCAATACTCTTAAATGAGTAATGTAGCACTTAATGCATGCTTTCATAATGCTCTGCATATTACATCTTTGGCTACTATTTATATTTAAGTATACATTTTTATGTTTTAACAAAAAATAATTGCAATGGGGTATGAGTTTTGTCTACAATTCTTTTTAGAAGCGTGCAGGCATACCATTCCTTCCAGGTTGTGAAAGCCAAATGATCCAAATATGTATATTTTAGGCAAAGAAATGATCAACTTAAAAAGTCAGATTCTATAAAAGTACTTTGTTCTAACATCATAGAATATTGTGATATTTGAAGACATTATATAAGATCGTCTTTGCATGGACTTTTAAAAAAGCAGGAGTAGCTATCTTTAAGAATATTTTTTTTTTATTGATTTCAGAGAGGAAGGGGAAGGGAGAGTTAGAAACATCAATGATGAGAGAGAATCATTAATCAGCTGCCTTCTGCACTCCCCCTACTGGGGACCAGCCTGCAACTTGGCATGTGACCTTAACTGGGCTCAAACCCGGGACCCTTCAGCCACTGAACCAAACCAGCTAGGGCAGGAGTAGCTACTTTTCCAAATGCCTTTTAACCAGTGCTCTAAAGGACTTACATTCTAATATTTTTTGACAGAAATATTCACTTTTCTAAAAACCAGAATCAAACTTGAGTTGGGTCGATGCTCTACCACCTAATGCCTGGACATAGGTGCACCACAGGTGGGATGGCATAAGGGACAGCCTTGCATTGTCTTCAACGAGTTCCTCAGTTGACGTAAGGGCATGAGACTCCTTTTAATTTGTTTAAAAAAAATAATAAAATCTCCCCATGCCCACTTCACAGAGCTGTACTGCTACACAAGTTCAGTAAGTGTTGGTTGTACTGCCATGCAGGCGCTGAAAAGTTAAAGTACCAATGGAATGCACTATTCCATTTTTGGCCTCATCGCCCTAGCACCAACGTTCTCTTGGGGGAAGAGAGACTAGTGGTCAGCTGGCAAAGTTGAGGACATTTTGGATGCTACTAACCATCCTGCCATGAACACGGACGGCGGCCTCACCTCAGAAAAATTCGGCCCCGAAGCTAGACTGTCTGCTGAGAGGCCCTGGGTCTCTGCGGAGCAAGAAGTCTGTGGAAAGGGCCCTTGGGGTCCTGCGGGCATCCAGTCCCTCGCTTACTTCCCTGGCTGGCGTTTAAGGTAAAACCCACGCCACGCCGCCGCCTCCGGCTAGAGCAGCCGGCCAGGCGTCGGGGCAGCTTCTCCCGCCCTGGAGGGCGTGCGGCCGCGCGGAGCCTGCTGGGAGCACGCGCTCACAGTGACAGCCCGCGTTGCGCGTCGCCTCACGCGCTCAGTTTGTTGCGCGAGACGGACCCTGCGTCACTTCCGCTACGAACACCGCCCCCCCCCGTGGGCCCGCCCACCACCCCCTTCCAGTGCGTCGTAACCCAGGGCAACTGTCGCCCTCGCCCGCCGCCGGCGAAGACTAAGCTGCCGGGGGGCTTTCCACCGCACTGGCCCCACATGTGAGGGTGTGAGTGGCCGCGGCCGCTTCCCTGGCCGCTTCCCCGCCCCGAGAGCAAGGCCCCATCCCACTTCTCGCGCCGCAGAGCGGGAGCCCTGCCCAGTAAGAGAAGCGGCTGCCCTCTGAGGCGGGGATGCAAAAGGGAGAGGTATCATCACTGGGGTTAGGGGCGGGGACTGGTGTGGGTGGGAGTGGGCGGGGCCATTGAAAGGGCGGGTCCCTATCAGGGAGGAGCCAGTTGAGGAAGGGGTGGGGCTTGGTGCGGCCAATGGGGACGTTTTGCTGGAGTGGTTAGCTCTTTCTTGAAAGAAGAGAAGGAAGGCGTCTTGTGTGGCAGGGTAGGAACTGCTGTTGGAAGGGGCGGAGGTAGATGAGGAAGAAGGAAGGATCTTGGAAGAAGTAGGGTTTCCTGAGGGAAGGGAACGACCATTAAAGGACTGTTAAAGGGAAGAAGAGCCTTTCTTTGAGGTGAGACAGGTGGGGTCTGTGTTTGATGACTTGTATTTTCAGGTAGACTGTAAGCTGTATGAGAGCTGGGCATTGCTTCACACTTTATCCCCGGTTCTAGGCACTGAGTGAATGGGAAAGATGGAAGAGGTGGAGACTGCGATGGGAATAAAAAATGGTCTGATCCGAGCTCAGATCATTGTAGGAACTGCTCTCCTATGAACAATCAAAGCTGCTGTGCTCTATGCGCACATAATAAACATAAGGCACAAGTAATTAGCATAGGGAGATAAGATTTATACTCTTAAAAGTGTAAACAATTTACTCTAATTGGGTGGGGTATATGTTTAACTTTGAGGCAAAATTTCAACTCCTTACAAATTTGTGTTTCAAAATTATAAATCAGATTGAAAGTGCCAATGACAGTTTCCTTTAGAGACTATATTACAGTGATCAGCATGCCCAGACCAATCTTCAAGACCAGTTTATATAGGTGAAGCTTAGCTCTGTACTAAGAAACTTAACTAGCCCTGGCTGGTTTTTCTCAGTGGTTAGAACATCAGCTGTAGACTGAAGGGTCCCAGCTTTGATTCCAGTCAAAGGTAGGTTGATTGCAGGCTCAATCCCCAGATCCCTGGCCCTGGTTGAGGCTCATGTGGGAGGCAATCAATTGATATTTCTATGTTTCTCTCTCTCCCTTCCACTTTCACTCAAAAAAGTATCTCAATGGAAAAATATCCTCAGGTGAAGATTAACAAAACAAAAAAGAAAAAAAGAACTCCCACCATGTCTGTTTCTATTTATTGATTTCTTCAACACATAATGATAAGGTCCACAGGAACATCCATTTAGAATTCCAAGTGAAACTGACAGAAACCCATCTTTCCCTCTCTGAAATTCTGACCTGCACTCAAGATTCCTTTAAACCTAAAACTTCTAGGAAGATGAGGGTAGGTGTGGAGACATGGTGGAGAGCCAGGGAACTGGTAAGGAGTTTTGAGAGATTACTGCTTGCTTTTGACTTAAAAACCATGTGGGCTTTTCACTTCTGACCCATCAACATTACACCCACTGTTAATTGATTAGGAATGTGTCAACCAGGTGTAGGAATCTAGGCTAACACATTTGTAGTCTGCCTATGTAGACAGGCAATGGCAAATGTGCTACCACTGCCCTTATTTGTTCCCTGACAGACTTCAGTAATCAATCACAGAACTCTTTTCCATAGTGGCCAAGTCTTTTCTTTCTTTTCTTTTTTTTAAATATATTTTATTGATTTTTCACAAAGAGGAAGGGAGAGGGATAGAGAGCTAGAAACATCTATTCAGCTGCCTCCTGCACACCTACTGGGGATGTGCCCGCAACCAAGGTACATGCCCTTGACCGGCATAGAACCTGGGACCTTCCAGTCCGCAGGCCAACGCTCTATCCACTGAGCCAAACCGGTTTTGGCTGTGCATTCTTAAGATGTGGGAATTTGAGATTCTTGTCTGAAGAAGTGAGAACTGTCTTCAGATATTTTCAGCATTGTCATGTGTTGCTTTTGGGAGGAATGCCAGGAAGTGAGAAGCAAAATTTTCAGGCATGCAGATGTCTTGATTTGAGAACATTTCAAAATTTTTTTTAATTATCCTTATTTTTTTAAAGTATTACAGATATCCCTTCATTTGTTTGTTTGTTTATTTTTTCCCATTAACCCCTGCCACCCTGACCCTGCCCCTCCCAGGCCTTCACCACTTCATTGTCTGGGTCCATGGGCTATGCATATCTATAATAATAAAAGCATAATATATTAATTAGACTAGACATCCTTCTGGAATTCCTTTCTTCTGGACAAGACCGCAAAGGGTGGAGACCATGGCAGAGGTGGCAGAGGCCCCCGGCCATGGTGGTGGGCAGGGGCCAGGGCCAGGGCCAGGGCCAAGGCCCTTACACGAATTTCGTGCATCAGCCTCTAGTATACATATAAGTTCCCCGGGTAATTACTCCCACCAATCTTTTGTAGTAGCAGACTGCTTTGTAACTCAGATACAGGCCCTTCTCTGAAAAAACACATTGAGCATCTTCAGAGGCATAGACTTTTGATTTTTAAAGATATGTTTTTATTTATTTTTTAGAGAGAGAGGAAGGGAGAAGGATAGAGAGATGGAAACATGGATAAGAGAGAAACATGGATCAGCTGCCTCCTGCATACCCCTACTGGGGATTGAGCCTGCATCCTGGGCATGTGCCCTGACTGGGAACTGAACCACGGACCTCTTGGTTCATGGGTCAATGCTCAACCACTGAACGACACTGGCCAGGCTGGCTTGTTTTCTTTCTTTCTTTCTTTCTTTCTTTCTTTCTTTCTTTTCTTTCTTCTTTCTTCTTCTTTCTTTTCTTTTCTTTTCTTTTCTTTCTTTTCTTTTCTCTCCCTCCCTCCCTCTCCCTCCCTCCCTCCCTCCCTCCCTCCCTCTCTTTCTTTCTTTCTTTCTTTCTTTCTTTCTTTCTTTCTTTCTTTCTTTCTTTCTTTCTTTCTTTTTTTCTTTCTAAACATATTTTTGTTGATTTCAGAGAGGAAGGGAGAGGGAGAGAGAGATAGAAACGTCAGTGATGACAGAGAATCATTGATCAGCTTCCTTCTGCATGCTCCATATTTGGGATGGAGCCCACAACTGGGGCATGTGCCCTTGACTGGAATTAAACCCAGGACCTTTCAGTCTGAAGGCTGACTCTAACATAGACTTTCTTTACCTCATCCAAGAATGGGCACAGAGCCTTGCTCTGGAGGGCAAAGCTAGGACCAGGGAGCGAAGCAGGAAAACCAGTGTTGGTTCAATATAAGAAAGAGCTTTTTAACAGAGCACTAGTTCTCCAATTTTGCTGGATTTTAGAATCATCTCAGGTGATTTAAGAAATCCTGCCTGATTGGATATGGCTCAGTGGTTGAGCATTGATCTAGGAATCAGGAGGTCACAGTTCAGTTCCTGATCAGGGCACATGCCTGGGGTTACTGGCTCCATACCTGGTAGAGGGTGTGCAGCGGGCATCTGATCAACGATTCTCTCTTATCATTGATGTTTCTATCTCTCTTTTCCTAGCTCTCCCTTTCTCTCTGAAATCAACAAAAATATATTTTAAAAATAATTCACATTAAAAAAATTCCTGATGGCCAAGTTGTGCCTAGTCCAATTATAATCAGAATCTCTGTGGGTGGGGTCTGGGCATTTTTATTTTATACTAGAGGCCCAGTACATGAAAATTCATGCATTGGAAATGGAGTTCCCCAGCCCAGCCCACCCCCTCTCACAGTCCTAGAGCCTTTAGGGGCCCATGTTCAGGGCCCCCTTCACACCTCTGCTGCTGCCACTGCTAGCAGCGCAAACCTCGGCCAGCCCTGGTTACCTGAGCCTCAGGCAGCTCTGGGAGGTTGGGCAACTGCCATTTTGTGACTGTGGGTGCTGCCATCTTTGAGGGCATGGCAATCAATTAGCATAGTCCCTCCTCATTGGCTGTGGGCACCACCATCTTTGAGGGTGGGGCAGTCATTTAGCAAATTCCCTCCTTATTGGCTGTGAGTACCGCCATCTTTGAGGGCATTAGTCAATTAGCATACTCCCTCTTTATTGGCTGTGGGTATTGCCATCTTTGTAATGGTGTGAGGGTCAATTAGCATATTCCCTCTTTATTATATAGGATAAAGCTCCCCAGATGATTCCAAGGTGCAGCTAAGTTTGGAAACCAGTAAATTACTTTGCCATTTGAGAAGATTCTCTAAATAGTAAACGCCTTGTCAGTAGAGATATTTTAAGCAAAAATAAACATTCTTCTTATTGATTCAAGCATTCTAGCACTACTTAATCTCTCCTAAATAATATCTACTTGATTAAGTAGTGCTAGAATGCTTGAATCAATAAGAAGAATGTTTATTTTTGCTTAAAATATCTCTACTGGTTCAAATGTATATGTAGTTTAGAAGAGAACAAGGTCAGAATGCATTTATAGGAGCTTCTTTGGCCTGGACAGGGATTGAAGTGGAATTTCACAATAGGAGAGGATCCAGCTGGTTTGCACATCCTGTCAGGTCCTCTGTCATGCTGTTTGTAAATAAAATAGCACCTCTAGTTTTTAGTCACTTGTAATATGTTTTTTCTTCCAGATCTCATTCATTTCCTCTGATGTCATACTGGAAAGATTAGGATGTCCAGAGATATTTGACCTTTCATTGGTAAATGGAATTTTATTGCCATCTAAATGCCATTTTAAGCCTAAATAAATAAGCTGAAATGGTAATTGAACAGATACTGTTATAAGAAGTTACTTGTCTCTACTTCAACAGAAAAGGAAAAAAATGTGGGTTTTTGGCAGGGATCATGTAGGGGTGATAGAAAGCAAGATGTGTGGTCCCCAGTGGACTTTATTTCATTACAAGCAAGGACTTCCTCAAGGACTTCCACTGGCTGTTCATTAGCACTCAGCTGCTTAGGCATTAAGAGTTCATCAATGCAGCTTTTGCAGACCCCAGGAGGAACATCTGTCTGTGGGAAAGTGTTGTAATCATGCCCTTTTCATATGAGCAAACAGACCCAGAAAAGTAACTTATCTAAGCCTTACACAGCTAGTTTTGTTTGGCACTCAAATCTGTGCTCAAAATTAGGATATAAATTTTCTAACCCTTTGACTGGATTATAAATGTCAAGTCCCATTTTCAACTTGGGAAAAGCATCAATTAAAAATGGATAACATCATCATCGTCATCACTTCCACCACCATCACACTATCACCATCATCTACTGTATTAGTTCTCTAGGGCTGCCACCCCAAAGGGCCACAGACTGGGTGACATAAACAGAGCCTGTCCGTTCTAGAGGCTCACCGTCCAAAGTCAAGGTATTGGCAGGGCTGATTCCTTCTGGCGATTATGAGGAAGGATCTGGTCCAGGCCACTCTCCTTCGCTAGTAGATGGCCATCTTCTCCCTGTGTCTCTTCATATTATCTTCCCTCTGTGCAAGTCTGTGTCCAAATTTCCCCTCTTAATAAAGATACCAGTCGTATATGGTGGAGGAGGGTAAACTGATTGACTAGCTTAGACCATATGCTCTACCAGTTTCCTCAGAAGCCTAAGGATCCCCAAGCTGATATCCATAGTTGTTGGGAAGAGAAAGAGGAGAAGGCCTGTGTGCATAAGTCACACACATCCACTACAGTTCTCTTATTAGCACAATATTATCTGGGCTTTTGGGAGTGGAGGGTAGTGACGCTACATTGCTTACTGTAGTCTGTACTCCATCATGAGGGATAGGGCCTTGTTAAACATCTTCTCGTCTTCACTCTCAACTTTGATCTTTAAATCCATTAGTCTATAATTAAAGTTATCTTTTATATTGTCAATAGTTGGCAATGGATGGTTTTGTAATATTTCTTCTGAGTCTACTCCTGAATGTGTTGAAAATGTATCACCTGATTACTAGTATGCTTTAAAAAGAAAATTAAAACTGAGTTCAATCCACATTTCAAACTGCAGGAAGAAGATGTTAAAAACTTTAAGCAACCATCAGAGTAATCACAGTTATGGATCTCTGTCAGAAAAATGAGACGGAGTTAGAAAATAGTGAAAATAATGAAATTCCAAGCACAGAAGAAACTGAATTAAAGTGTACTTATTCAGATGAAAGAAAGGAAAAGAATCATGTTTGTTGTCTTCTCAATATCAGTGACATCACGTTTGAACAAGATGAAAAAGCCAAAAAGTTTGTTATTGGAACTGGATGGGAAGAAGCAGTAAGTATCTTCTTGAGTTAGGTCTCTTGCACAATAGTGTTTTGGTTGTTGTTTTATAAAGTGTGTTTTTTTTTTTTAATTTTTATTGGAGAGAGAGAGAGAGAGAGAGAGAGAGAGAGAGAGAGAGAGAGAGAGAGAGAGAGAAGGAGAGAGAAACATGAATTTGTTGCTCCACTCATTTATGCAGGCATTGGTTCATTCTTTTTTTTTAAATTATATTTTATTGATTTTTTTTACAGAGAGGAAGAGAGAAGGATAGAGAGTTAGAAACATCGATGAGAGAGAAACATCTATCAGCTGCCTCCTGCACACTGCCTACTGGGGATGTGCCCATAACCAAGGTACATGTCCTTGACTGGAATCGAACCTGGGACCCTTCAGTCTGCAGGCTGATGCTCTATCCACTGAGCCTAACTGGTCAGGGCTTTTGGTTCATTCTTGTATGTGCCCTGACTAGGGATGAACCCACAACCTTGGTATATCAGGATGACACACTAACCAACTAAGCTATCCACTGAGCCAAACCAGTTTTGGTGCAACTACAGTATTAAATGCTTCATTCAACCTAACATTAGTCCTATGTAGCAGGTATTATGAACAGCCTACTTTTGGACAAGGATACTAAGGCACCCAATGGGTGAAATAATGTGCTGAAGATCACCCAGCCAGTGGCCAAATTCTTCTGGACTTGAGAACCTGAGTTCCTTAACTACTGTACTAAATTCCCCCAAGAGGCCTGAGATTTCTGTCCCAGTGATTCTACTCAGAACCCCGTGGGTTTAACCGTAAAGTATTCTCAGAATCAAGAATAGCATCCTAAATTTAGAATGAAAAAGAAATTTGATCTACTGTTTTTCAGGTGACACTTGGTAATGTCACAACAAGGGGTGAGGGGAGGAGATGCTACTGGCCTCTGATGGGTGGAGGCCAGGAGTGCTGCTCCTACCAGCCCCAGACAGCACCCAGACAAGGAATAAGCCAGCTCTGTGTGGTTCAGGCTGTAATACCTGAGCACCATAGACAGGGTGGCTTAAGCAATAGACAGTTATTTCTTCTGTTGTAGAGGGTGGACATTTAAGATCAGGTGTCAGCATGGTTGGGTTCTTGGTGAGGGCCCTTTTCCTGGTTTTTCCTCACATGGCCACCTTTGTTCTGTACAGAAGAGAGAGAGAGAGAGAGAGAGAGAGAGAGAGAGAGAGAGAGAGAGAGAGAGAGAGAGAGAGAGAGAGAGAGAGAGAGAGAGAGATCCCTTGACTCCTCCTTTTTGTATTAGGACACTGATCCCATCATGAGGGCCCCCATCCTTTTGACCTCATCTAATCCTAATCACTAAAATGCTGCACCTCCAAATACTATCACATTGGAGATTAGGGTTTAAACATGGGACTTTAGGAGAAACACAAACATACAGTTCGTAACAAGCCCCAAACATTAGTCGTGCCAAGGTTGAGAATCCCTCAACTACTCGGTTTATTTTATAAATGTGGAAACTAATGGCAGGACAAGGCAGAGTGATTCACCCAAGTCCACTGACAGTTGAGAGAATCGTGTCTTCAAGAGCCCTCCTCTAATGCTATCTCTGCTGGACTGCCCCCACCGCAGTTCTAACCTTCCAAACACACGTTCCTGTGCCAGATAAGTCAGGGCAATAGGCTGTCCTATTTACGAATTTAAAACTTTCTAAGTTTAGATGGTTCAGTTTACTATTGAAGGTAACTTTTGAAATATACATCCAAGGGCTGTTGACATGGACCTGCCTCTGCTCATCCTCTCTCTCCAGCCACCTCTCCCACCCCACCTCTCCCTACCCCCCATGCAGCAGTCTCCTGAGTATGGTAAACAGAGCCTGGAAGGACAAGAAAGCCTGGTGGGGGGACAAGGACAAGTAGTTTTGAATTGATTTTTATTTAATGTAGATCTGAAAAAATATATAGTCATCACATCAAGGTAGGCAATTACAGATCCTATTGCTTAGTATTTTAAAAATCCTATTGCTCGTATTTCAGATTTTAAAATACTATGTATATGAGGCTAAAATAGGTATTGAAAGATTAAAAAAAAAAAAAAGACATTTGTTTAAAGAAAAATATTAGTTCAAATGTCCAAAATGGGAATGGGACCAAAATTGGGGCGGCCAATCAGCTGAGAGTAATACACTGCTTTATTTCCAGGTTCGAGGCTGGGGAAAGACTTCTCCAACTGCTTGCCTTTTGTCCAGAAAGAAAGGCAAAAAGGCGAAAGTGGGAGAAAGTGTCAGAGGCTGCTTACTCTGTGTCAGTCTCTCCCAAGGGATCCCCGAGACTGGGCCTGAGACCGAGGCTGGAAAGTTGGAGTCAAGGGCTCTGGCTGAGGCAGGCTCAGAGGGCGATCGAGGTGGCCCCACTGGCTGCCCCACCACTGCCTCCAGGAATATTAGCAAGATGTGCTTTCCCTCCCACAGTCAGGGAGATAAAAAAGGTCTGCAAATAAAGGAGTTTATTTGGTGCATGGAAGAGTGTGCCGTCCCCGGGACTGTTAGGGGCCAAGACTCCAACAGCAGTACTGACCAAAGTCCCTCCATCTCAAACTCATTGAAATCCAAGGCCCTTTTAGTTCTCCCTCCTCTGAATTCTTCAGCCCCAAATGGCTTGTATGCTCAGGGTAAGAAGAGTAAGAGCTCTCTCTCGCTGCCAGAAGAGAAGGTGCTGAGTGTGGAAAAGGATGAGTGTGTGGCTTGTGCATATGGATTGAAAATAGTTGGAGGGAAAGATGGAAAGAGACCCTTTGAGCTGGCCAAGCACCTTAAGTTCAACTGCATGCAGCCTTCTCCTCCACCAAGGGTTGGGACATCCCTGCTGGCCAATCCAGAGCTGGGCTGCCTGCACTGGTCCCTCCTGCCCAAGAAAAACCTGATGTGCCCTCCCAATCCCAATAGTGTTCAATGTCTCAGCACTGTGCAGCTTTTGCAAAAACAGAGAGGGCAAAGCTACAAAGCCAAATTCAAAGCCAGGAAGCTGAGGCCTCCCATGAACACCCAAAAGTGCATTTTCAAGGAAGCCAAGCAGGAAAACAGGCCCCATCCAATGGAGACCAATGTGTTCCCAAGACCTTTCTTGCCATCCCTCAAAGTGAGCAGAGTTGGTATTCCCGTCTCCACTCACAGATTCCTCTGAATTGCCACAATATAATTTCCTGGGAATTAAGTACCTTTGGAAACTCATTCATCCTCTCTCTCCCCTGCCCCCACCCCATTCTCTTCTGGTTTCTTCCTTTCTCTCCCCTCCCTTCCCCTTTTCTTTTCCATCCTCTTCTCTCCCTTTTTGCCTTCTTCTCTGTCCATTTTTTTTTTTTTTTTTGGTAGTAGAACCAGAGGAAATAAACTCATTGTATGGATATGATTTATTCTCAAAACACCCATATTTATGTGTTACCTGCTTCAGTTGCTTAGTCATTTATAAAATGCAAATTAGTAATGCCAGTCTCAGCCTCTGCTTGCTTTATATCTCTCTCCCACTGGAAGCCAAGTGGATGGTGGGGAATCTGAAGAGGGTCTCTCTCTTGGTGATGCCCCAATATCACCCTTGAACCCACTGGAAAGGGCTCTTTCTGCTCTACCCCAGTGCCTGAAGCTAAGTGTACTGGCCTCTTTTGGACCAAATTATTTCTTGTCTTTGTAATTTTAAGATTTTTTTAAAGATTTTAAAATTGATTTTTGTAGGGAGAGAGAGAGATTCATGTGCGAGTGAAACAGATCTGCCTCCCACACGCCCCCCACAGGGATCGAGCCTGCAACCTGGGTATATGCCCTGACTGGGAATCAAACTGGCAACCCTTCGGTGCATGGGACTATGCCCAACCAACTGAGCCACACTGGCCAGGGTTTCCTGATATTTTAAAACAGGAAGATATCTGTCTGTTGCCTCATTTTTTTTTTCTTGCAACAAAGATTTGAAACATTATTTGAATAAAAAACTCCAACCTGTGTCTAAATGACTATACTTGTGTTCAGGTGATATATCCTTGCATTATATCCATGAGGATACCATATCCGTTGTATCCTCTATGTCCAAAATGACATAAATCCATGACTTTACCATATTTATTGTATCCCACGTGTCCAAAGTGATATATCTTTGTATTGTAGCCTCTTGCTAATCTCTGTGTCTGGGAAATTTTAGCCATAGTTCTAAAAAATCTGCTTGGAAAACAGGCTAAGAATCATTATTTGAGGGGGGGAAAGGTCACTGTGATTATTGTCACCCCACAGGCTTCCTCTTGCCTTACTTTGCATCAATATTTGGGAACTCTACAACTTCCGACAGACACAGATGGGGCTGTTACATTTTCCTTTCTGATCCTTCTCCCCACTCATTTTACTCCCATGCATATTTCCTGAAGTTGTATATAAATTAAACATTGTTTGTAAATGAGTTCTATTTTAAAAGCCAAGTGACAGTGCTAAGTAGAGAAATGCTCTGGGGGGAAAATAACTCTTCGTAATCTGAATAACCATTTAGCTGCTCTGTAATTACAGTTTGAATTTCCTTTAAGTAGGTTGTACTTGAACTCTGTACTTTCCATTCCTGATGACTGCATTTGTAAACATCTGCTTTCCATAATTGCTCTTTAGGGTTTTGTTTTGTTGGTTTGTTTGTGTTTTGTGTGTGTGTGTGTTTTTTTTTTTTAAACACCAGAATGCAGGAATGGTTATAGTACAGCATTCATTAAAAGATATATTTTGCCTACTTAAGTTGGACACTTCTTTAAAGTCTAGAAGCAATTTGTAGGTTCCATCCATCCCTTCTTCCCTGAATGAAGGAAACATCTGGATTCCATCATCAAGAAAGACCCAGATTTCCCACTGTTTCTTGCCAGTGGGGGTGTTGGAGCTGGTACTGTGTGAGGACAATCTATCAATGGCAGCCTGCCCACCAATGTCAGTGGTTTTCAAGCCCCCTTTACAAACAGCAGAATAATAAGTTCAATATGCAAAAGAGTTCAAAGTATTTGGGAGGGAAGGGTATTGGCCAGCATGAGTGAGCAATGGAGCCCAACCTACTTAGCCTAGATATATTTACTTTTGAGATATTTTTAAAAATATATGTTTTTATTGATTTCAGAGAGAGTGAAAGGGGAGACAAAGAAACATTAATGTGAGAGAGAAACATCCATCAGTTGCCTCTTGCATGCAACCCAACTAGGGACAGAACCTGCAACTTGGGCATGTGCCCTGACTGGGAATTGAACTGGTAACCTTTCAGTGCATGAGACAATGCTCAAACAACTGAACCACACTGGCCCAACTATTTTTGAGTTCTTGAGGCAGTTTAAAAACATTGATATAAGTTACAACTTAATATTTCTTTCTTATGAAAAATTCTTTTGATGAGATGGAATTATAAATTTTACAGATTTCGGGGTAAGCATCCTATCCTATATAATAAAAGGCTAATATGCAAATAGACCAAACAGTGGGACAACTGAACAACTGGTTGCTATGATGTGTGCTGACCACCAGGAGTGTCAGCAGGTGCCATCAGAACGTGGGAACAGCAGCAGCAGGTGCAGGACTGCTGGCAGATAGGGAACTGGGGAGGGGGGGGGTGCAATAGGAAGGGCTGGGCAGGGGTGCAGAGGATGGGCCAAGACCCACTCATGTGCCCACCGCAGCCTCATGGCCCACAGTTCCTTTCAAGGTGCACGAATTCATGCACTGGACCCCTAGTATAGAAATAATTTAGAGTTTACAGGAAGGCCAGTCTGAACAAAAAATGGGCTAATATACTGAAGATTCACAGTATCCTTCTTTTGGGGCAAATTAATTTGGTCAACAAAATATTGAGTAGAACATTGCCCTGTGAATAAATAGAAATGTTCTTTTGGGATCCCTTTGTTAGGCAATTATTCATGTACCTGATGAATTCCCTTTAGAGATACTATTTGCATTGGTCCAGGTTTAGTTTGTTTCTCTGTGGATAAAGTCATTGTAGACCTTGTCCCAATTTCTATTCAGAAAATTGGGACACCTAAACTGGTCTTTGATGTCCAAGACTAGATAAAGGCTAAATGTTTACTGGAATGCAGGCCCCATCCATCAGCATTCTAGGTCACTAAGAAAACTCACAGGGGAAATAAGGAGTCAAGCATGTTATAACACAGGTCCCAATGGCCTTCTTACTATCTCAAGGAGATGATCTCAATTAGGTTTTGGTTCCTTTATTTCTTTCCAAACCAAGTATGAAGAACACACTGTTTTATCCCTCATTCTATTATTTTTGGATGTCTCGTGAGTTAAACCTTACAAACTCCCATTTTTCTTGTAAACTTAAAAGTCATGAAGCGGAATTGTGGTAGCATCCGACACAGGACCTGAGGTCACCTATTGGGTGAGGCTGGATTGAGGTCTGGGAATGCTGCTGAGGGTCTAGGTGAGGCAAAGAAAGGGCCAGAGGGGCAGGAGATGTTGGACAGATAGAATATCAGCCTGACAGAGAGATGAGGGGTGACATGCTTGAAGGACAAGGGGGAGATTTTAAATCTATTCTGATTCTAGACCTGGCTACATACATTTGGACAAGAACATAGGACTTTGGCTACTCAGGGATACTTTCCCTAATTTTTAGTTTTACTCTCTTTTTATTCTGGACTTTGCCTCTATTGTGGAATTTACCTATACTTCAAAAATCATGCTATAAAGTGATTTGAATCCAAAATCAAATTTGCTTTCAATCCTCCCCCCTCCCCCCCCCTCTAAGTATAGGAGCCTCAGGAACCAGAGAGACCACAGAAGCCCAGCCCATCTCCCCATGGGTGCCCCTAGCTGGCCAAGCAGACCAAACTGCACAGCTGGAGGCCTCACATCTGGGTTTTTTTGGGGTATCTGGACTAGGGGCTCCTGAGAAGCAAGGTGGGAAAGGAAGAAACAGAGAGACCCCTGTGGCCATGACAGAGGAAAGACCAACGCAGATGCTGGTCCCACGGAGAACACTTTTCTGCTGTCTGCTAGGGCTATCTGGAAGCCATGAGAGGCTCAAGGTTATGCTCTTGCTGCCCAGGCTAATCTATTAGCTAGTCACAGGATACAACAATTTCACTTGTTTTCAAGGCATTGTTGCTTCTAAAAGTTCAAACCTCCTTTGGAACATTATCTCTTTTCTATCCTGAGCATATGCATGTGCAGGATCATTTTCTTCTATAACCCAAGGAGAATCCAATCAGAGAGATTGCGTTTAATCAGGCCAGGTAGGCTCCTATATGTCTCCCAGCTGGGGGGCAGTTGGAGCGCTGGGTGGAAAATACCACATAAGGCAGGAAGGAGGGCTGGAGAATGTCATTCCTTCCTGTAAGATGGGAACAATTTCACACACAGGATGTGGTGAGGATGATGAGGTATTTAGAACAGCAACAGATATTTGTGGTTTTCCCTGAATGTACTAATCAGATCAAATATAAAATAGCTGGATCATTTATTTCCCTTCGTGGATAATGACTTCAAAGTTGTACAGAAATCCTGTGGGCATAATGAGTTGTTTTTTGGACCTTGAAGGGTCTTCAATCTTTAATAGTCCGCACAACTCAGCTTTGTAACTTGTTGAACTAAGGCTCTTTGCTTGGGACCCTGTTAATCAATCCATGGGCTATCTTCATTCCCTGATTCTTTTCTTCATCCTGTTTTGCCTGAATTTTCCCTGCACCAGTCTAGACACCAGCATTCTGGTGCCTGGCTGTAGTGGCTCAGTGGATTGAGCATTGTCCCATAGACCAAGAGGTCCCGGGTTTGATTCCCAGTCAGGGCTCATTCCTGGATTGCAGGCTCCATCCTAAGTAGGAGGCATGCAGGAGGCAGCTGATCAATGATTCATTCTCTCTTATCACTGATGTTTCTCCCTTCCTCTCTGAAATCAATAAAAAAATTAAAAAATTAATAATAAAATAAACATCACCACTCTGTAGAGTACATGCTTCCCATACTGATTTTGTATCATCTGCTGAGGTGTTAACAGAAAAAACTTACTTGTCAAGTTCAATCTCCCAGGTTAAAGCTGCTGTACATCTTCTTAATTCCAGTGTCCAGTGAAATAAGTAAAAATAGAACATCTTCCCTTTTGTCCTAGGAGCTAAGAATGAAGCATTAGGAGACTTGCTTTTTATTATTATTGATTTTTTTTAGAGAAAGAGAAACATGGATTCATTGTTTCACTTATTTATGCATTCATTGGTTGAATCTTATAAGTGCTCTGACCAGGGATTGAACCTATAACCTTCATGTAAAGGGACAATGTTCTAACCAACTCAGCTACCTAATGAGGCCCTTTTTTTTTTCTTCTTTTTTTTCTTTTTCAATACTCCAGCTTTGCCACTGGGCATTGCTGCCTTTGCCCTATGACATTGGTCGGCAAAATGCGACTCACGAGCTACATGAGGCTATTTGGCCCCTTGAGCAAAGCTCTTCCACAAAATACCACATGCGGGTGCGCCCCTACAGTGAGGTTGAAACTTCAAGGCCCATGTGTAGAAGTCGGTTTTCGGCTCTCAAAAGAAATTTCAATCGTTGTACTGTTGACATTTGGCTTTGTTGACAGATGAGTTTGCCGACCACTGGCCTATGAAACAAGGGAATTAATCCTCATCTGTCATTTTAGCCTAATTAACTTGCCTACAACCATTATAAGAGACTCAAAATGTTGAATAATTCCTTCTGTCACAGATTTGCGATGTTTGCTCTGGATCCTGATCTTTGTACTATGAAATTTAAAAGAAAAAAATCTAAGCAAGTTTCAATTTATGTATTTCAAAAGTTCCTGATAGTAAAAATCCTAGAGATTAAAAAAAATTTTTTTTTACATAAGACTATGGGGACTCAATCTTCTCTAATAACACATACTTAAACAAACAAACAAACAAACAAACAAAAACATGCTTCTTAAGAGAACCAAGAGCCCAGCTTCACATTGCATCTATTGCAATGCCTGAAGTTCCACCTCACCAACTGACCTATTGCTAGGGTGGGGGTTTTCAACCTTGGAACTGTTGGCATTCAGGGCTGGGTAATTCTTTATGGTGGGGGCAGTTTTGTGCATGGTGGGATGCTCAGCAACATGCCTGGTCTCTACCCACCAGATGCCAATATTAACGCCAGTTATGACCACCAAGAATGTCTCCAGATGTTCCCAAGTACCAGGAGAGCAAAATTGGCCCAGTTGAGAACCACTGCTTTAGGGATTTAATAATCCTAGAAACCAAGCCTTCATTTGCAGCTTCTTTGACAGTTTACTTACAGAGTATGCAGAAACCTAGGCACAGAGGTGAAAGAAATGTGGGAGATCTACTTGCTTCATCCTGGGAAGCATAGGTACTCCTCTGGTCCTTCAGGGTCTTCTGGAGCCTCCTGCCCAGGTCCCCTCCAAAAGAAGGTGAGGACAAGCCTGCTTTTCTCTTAAGACAATCTCTCATAGCAACACAGGGCATATTAGGCATCACCAGGAAGAGCTATTGGCTCTTTCAGGAGAACATGCATCATTATTAATGTATTTCCATTTAATGCCACATTATTAGGAAATCTCTGTTTAAACATGGATACTTCACAAATACAAATAAAAATGACTTTTTCTCCCAGTTCAAACTTCAGACACTTCTTTCCTGTTTATCTGCTTATTAAAACTTTGCCTGGCCTGTGTAGCCCAGTGGTTGAATGTTGACCCAGAACCAGGAGATCACCGTTTCATTCCCAATCAGGGTACATGCCCAGGTTGCAGGCTCAACCCCCAGCAGGGAGCAAGCAGGTGGCAGCCAATCAATGATTCTCTCTCAACATTGTTGTTTCTTTATCTCTCTTCCCTCATCTCTGAAATCTATTAAAAAAAAAAAACAAAAACCAAAAAACAAAAACAACAAAAAACACAGAAAACTTGAAAATATTCTATAAACTAGTCTTATTTTTAGTACCACTGGAAGGTTATGACTATTAACCAAGCCCTCAATGTGAAAGGGCTGCTAGCAATTTCATTTGTTCTAATCTGCATGATGCTGTGAAGAAAATTCGTAATCTCTGAATAAAACATTTAACTCGGGACAAATACCACTGATCCTGATACTCTAGGTGCAATTTCTGTGGCAATTCACCCAGATCTCCTTGACTGATTTCTCTAATGTAATTTCAGGAAAATGGAATGTTAGAGAGATATTGTCATTATGGTAGCTATTTAGAGAACTGTAAATCTGAAGACCTACTAGTCAGATATATACCTTGTTAGAGAATAGTGATTTAAGTGGTTTAAAAATATACCACATCTTAACTAAAGAGTGAAAAAGAGAAAAAATTGATACTATATCTCTATATAATTCATCAATATCAGACTTCAGTATAGCTAAACAAAAATTATCATGAACTGCCGAAACCGGTTTGGTTCAGTGGATAGAGTGTCAGCCTGGGGACTGAAAGGTCCTGGGTTCGATTCTGGCCAAGGGCATGTACCTTGGTTGCAGGCACATCCCCAGTAGGGGGTGTGCAAGAGGCAGCTAATCGATGTTTCTCTCTCATTGATGTTTCTAACTCTCTAGCCCTCTCTCTTCCTCTCTGTAAAAAATCAATAAAATATATTAAAAATTATCATGAACTGAAATAGACAAAATAAATAATTCCTAAAGTGTAACTTGCCAAAGTTTGGTTTCTCAAAAGGGTAATATAAAAATCTTAATTTTTGAAGACTCACTTTTTAAATAGGGAAAAGTTTTTGAGAAGCATTTTAAGGGTAAATATTCTTTTTAAGGATAAATATTCTTTTGGGATAAGTTAATTCAGATGCACAGACTTCTGCCACATTTTTAATGAAGCATGAACTCTAGATTTTTTTTGAAGTCACTAAATTTCTCGTTACAGCACAGGAAAAATGAGATAAAGTAGGAGAGGGATCAGTATCAAATTCAGCCCTAAGCAGCAACATGTTTGAGATGCAATCATAAAACCAAGTATTTCACCCAGGGCATGGAAAATGCAGTGGATCATCAGAAAGCATAGAGTAAAAAGCCGCAAGCAGAAGCAGTAAAAAAATGCCAGGACTGGAACAGGTCAAACTGACACATACCATGTTATTAATCTCACTCCTTTAGGGAAAAAAAGTTTTTCACATTGAGATAACATACATTCTTTTGAGAATGACAAAGTTGCCATGGAGATATATTTTTTCAAAAATTTTTTCATTTTCTGAAATTTTACTGATAAGCTAAAAAAGAGAATCACTTGTTTCAATTTTGTTATTTGTTTTTCCAGCCTTATGTTCTGTAATAATTAACTTGCTTGAGAGTAAAGTATCAACAATTAATAGAAAAGCCTTGGCGATAGTTTTTCCTATGCTTGACTATTTTTGAAATTGTGGATTTAGAATAAAATTACAAATGTACTTATTAGTAAGATAAAATTTGGAGTTCTTGAAAAGTTGGTTGAAAGAACTGAATGAATATTGGTATTCTTCCAGTTCAAGAATTATAGGAAATGCTTTTATTCATTCACATCATTTGGGCACTTGCTCCTTTCAAACATATATATATATTTGTTAATCCTCATCCAAGGATATTTTTCCCATTGCTTTTTAAAGAGAGTGGAAGGGAGGAAGAGGGAGAGAGAAAGAGAGAGAAAGGGGGAGGGAGAAACATAAATGTGAGACAATATTATTTGCCTCCTGCACACACTCCAACATGGGCTGGGGATCCAACCTGCAACCCAGGTACCTGCTTTGGCTGGGAATTGAACCCTGGACCCTTGGGTATGTGGGCCAATGCTAATTACTGAGCAACACCAACCAGATCAAACATGCATGTTTTTAAATGAGTACCCTCACATTCATTAATGTTTTAGAACACTGACAACTTAAGAATCCTCTGCATTTGCTCTTTAGCCTACCTCTCTTGATAGGTAAATAATGTGTCAGTGTATCTGCTAATAAATACAGTTCACATGACTGAATACTTTGGATGTAAACATTGAAAAACAATAGTATTTAGCAGACTATCTTCTAGGCCATAAGAACATTATAATAATAGTACTAGAAGTACTAACCATAGCGATCAGACAAGAAGAAATAAAAGGTATCCAAAATGGGAAAGAAGAAGTAAAACTGTCCTTAATCGCAGATGCCATGATACTATACATAGAAAACCCCAAAGACTCAATAAAAAAACTACTAGACCTAATAAATGAATTTGGTAATGTAACCGAATACAAAATTAACACCCAGAAATCTATGGCCTTCTTATATGCCAATAATGAACTCACAGAAAGAGAAATAAAATTAAAAAAAACACACATACACACACACACACACAAAAAAACACACAACAACAACAAAAAAAAACAACAATTCCATTTACTATTGCACACACACACAAAAAAAAGATACCTAGGAATAAACTTAACTAAGGATGTAAAAGACCTGTATTCGGAAAACTACAGGACATTGAAAAAAGAGATAGAGGAAGACATAAACAAATGGAAGAACATAGCATGTTCATGGATTGGTAGAATCAACATCATTAAAATGTCCATACTTCCTAAAGCAATCTACAGATTCAATGCAATATCTATTAAAATACCAATGGCATATTTCAAAGATCTAGAACAAACTCTCCAAAAATTCATCTGGAATAAAAAAAGACCCCAAATAGCCACAGCTATCCTGAGAAAGAAGAACAAAGTTGGAGGGATCATAATACCAGATATCAAGCTATATTACCAAGCCATCGTTCTCAAAACTACCTGGTACTGGCACAAGAACAGACATAGAGACCAATGGAACAGAATAGAGAACCCATAATTGACCCAAGCCATTATACTTAATTAACATTTGATAAAGGAGGTAAGAGCATACAATGGAGTCAAAACAGTCTCTTTAATAAATGGTGCTGGGAAATTTGGTCAGATACATGCAAAAAAATGAAACTAGATCACCAACTTATACCATACACAAAAACAAACTCAAAATGGCTAAAGGACTTGAATGTAAGAGAGGAAACCATAAAAATCCTACATCCTTAAGTTTATTCCTAGGCAGCAAAATTGCAGACATATGTCGTAGCAATATCTTTACAGACACAGATCCTAGGACAAGAGAGACTAAGGAGAAAATAAACAAATGGGATTACATAAAAATAAAAAAGCTTCTGCACAGCAAAAGAAACCATCAACAAAACAACAAAAAAGCCCACTATGTGGGAGAACATATTTGCCAATGTTATCTCTGACAAAGGTTTAATCTCCAACATTTACAGGGAACTCATACAACTTAACAAAAGGAAAAGAATCCAATAAAAAAAATGGGCAAAGGTCCTAAATAGACACTTATTGAAAGAGGACATTAAAAAAGCCAAGAGACATATGAAAACATGCTCAAAGTCACTAATCATCCGAGAGATGCAAATCAAAACAACGAGGTACCATCTCACACCTGTCAGAATGACTATCATCAATAAATCAATAAATGATATGTGCTAGAGAGAATGCAGAAAAAAAGGAACCCTCCTTCACTGCTGGTGGGAATGCAGACTGGTGCAGTCACTGTGGAAAACAGTATGGCGTTTCCTCAAAATTTTAAAAAACGGAACTGCCATTTGACCCAGTAATACCACTTCTAGGAATATATCACATGAAAACAGAAACACCAATCAGAAAGGATATATGCACCCCTACGTTCATAGCAGCACAATTTACAATAGCTAAGCTTTGGAAACAGACTAAATGCCTATCAGCAGATGAGTGGATTAGAAAACTATGGTACATCTACACAATGGAATACTATGCTGCGGAAAAAAGGAAGTATTCTTACCATTTGCAGCAGCATGGATGGAACTGAAGAGCATTATACTAAGTGAAATAAGCCAGTCAATGAAAAAAAAAGTACCACATGATCTCACTTATTTATGGACAATAAAGAACATTATAACCTGATGAACAAAAAGATATATACAGAGGCAGAGAAGCATTGAACAGACTGTCAAATTACAGCAGGAAGGCTAGGGAGGGTTGGGAGGGAGATAAGAAATCAACCAAAGGACTTGAATGCATGCATTATAAGCATAACCAATGGGTGCAAGACACTGGGGGTGGGGGGGAGGGCATGTGCCTGGGGGCGGGTAGTGGAGGCCGGGGGAAGGTCATGGGGGAAAAAAGGATACATATGTACTACTATTTTTAATACTTTAAATGATAAAATAAAAATAAAAAAAGAACATTATAATAGCCAACATCTTGCTTAAATAACTGGATTAAAATTCATGTCATTGAACAAAGTATTTTAGATGCTGGATTATGTATAAACCAAGGATAGACCTGTCTTTTCCCATGTCAAATCTAATCAGTGGTAGATTAACACACTTCAGATGAGAAAACACACACATACACTGTGAAATATAAGGAAAATGAACTGCATAATATTTGGGACTTCAAAGGCTTCATCCCTAAATCCACTCCCTCCCCCTATTTACTTGAGCCTTCTGAGGACAAATTTGAAAAGCACTAATCTAGAAATACTAGACAGTAAGTTCTTTTCACAGTCAATATTAGATGACAGGCTCAGTGGTTCGGTTTTCTATTGGAATTAAGATAGACATTCTAAAATTAAGGCCATAGGCTTTGGCCTGTGTGTTCAGTGGTTAAGGCGCCATCCTGTGCACCGAAACATTGTGGGTTTAGTTCCTGTTCCAGTCAAGGCACATACACATGTGTGCATAAGGTAGTCAATGGATGTTTCTCTCTCCCATTGATGTTTCTCTCTCTTTCTGCCTACCTCCCTCTAGAATCAATGAAAAAACATATCCTTTGGTGAGGATTAAAAATTAAGGCCATAAAGGATGACATGTAAATATCAACCTGTCATTTGCCACTACAAATAAAATAACACAACTTCACTAGATTGGCACTGATACATTTCTTCCCATCAAAAGTAGCTTCAAACCTTTCAGGTAAATCTACAAATTTTTTTTCTACCTTTACATTTCATGTCAAGGAAATTAAAAGCAGTGATTTAATTTTCCTGTAAATTAGTGGCCAAGCAAAGAACTACTTATATTCTAACCCTTTTTTTGCTCTTAAGCCAGAATTATATTATTTACAAAAAGTTGTCACAGTATAAAATGGTCACATTTGGCAAATGTATTAAGTGAAGTAATTTCCTTTAAATAAATTTTCCAAAAGCTTATATAGTTTTATAAAAATAAAAACTTTACATCAAAATAGAAACGTTAGAATGGAGTGTCTTTTCATTTTCTATTACGAAAACTGTTAGCATGTTTTTATGATAATAAGTAAAATAATGAAAATAACTAGGCACAATCATTTTATCATGTGACTTTCAGAAGACAACAACTTTGAAAAATTAAGGCAACAACATAAGTCACATTATGAGTAGGTCGAAGAATTCACAGAAAAAAGGAAGAATTCTTACTTTTGTTTAATCACTAAATTTGAGTTTTTACAAACAATTCTTAGAACAAGTCAGGTAACTGAAGTTTTGGGGAAATAGTGCTTACTTACACATGAACTATTACATGCTCCATTTTCTATAAATAACTCTATTGGCTGAATTAACAAATACTGTCACAAAAACAAAACAAAAAATTTAAAGCCATATATCATTGCATTTATATTTACAAAAGCCATAAACAAACATGCATTTCTCCTTTACTAGGACTTAAATAGGTGTTTGAACATTAAGGCAGAGATGATTCTAAAACAATGAAATGTTAATTAAGGCTTATGTTTTTGTTTCAAAATCCATATTCATAGGCAACTGTGACCAAAGCAAACATTTATAAACCAGGTGGAGTTCAAGATATGTTCTTTAACCATGACAAACAAAAATTCTATGAAATAGGAATTAGCAACACAACTTATTAGTCCCCTCCTTAGGTTTTATCTTGAGGATTTAACTTTCAGCGGCACAAGCATGTGCCACAGAAGGAACAGAGCATTTTTTTTTTTTTGGTGAAGTTAGAAAACCTACAGGCTGCACTGATTTTTATTTGCCTGAAAGTTGGCCAACAATCAAGAATTCAGGATCTCCTAAATATAGAAAATCCCCAAAGCATCCTTGACCATGCTCCCATCTCAAAATAGAGGATTATTGAAGCAATCAGTCTTCAACTCAGTTTTCTTTGAAGACTGTCTGGTATTACCTTTTCTAAACAAATAAAGCAACAAAACACAGAAGCTGGATCTATTATGTAATTGCTATCCTCAAGGCACAAATAATACCTCCTAGTCAATGTCTTTCCTTGTTCAAGGAAAAGATGAGAGGTGGATGAAGAGCCATTCTAGTGTAATTGTTGATTGCACTCTTCTCTCTCAAGATGCTATGAATTGAAATTTAGGGGGAATGTCATATATATATATATATATATATATATATATATATACACACACACAATATATATATATATATAATTAATAAATGTTTAGAGTGACAAAACTCAGATGCAGCCTGTGCAATTTGACAAAGAGCCAAACAGCTCTGGAGCACCACCCTGGCCTACTGTAGAGAATGGGGGGATGTTTGTAGGGCACACTTGGTATGGGCTAATAGGCATGATTCCACGATTAGAAGGATCACTATTTACACTAAGTACTTGCCACTACTACTTTAAGCAGTAATTTTACAACACGCCTGTACACTTACATTGGTATCAATAATAGTTCATGTAGAGAAGGGATGACAATGACTACATGAAAACTGTCTGAAAAGCTAAAGGCAGATGTAGTTTTCTTTTGTGTCTACAATTCAGAAAAGATATATATGTCAAGCAGCTGAAGCTACAGACAGTAGGAGCCTCAAACCACTCATGCATAGGTGCTTAAACCTGATGGTGCAGCATCAAATTTCTTTAGGTCTTACTATCAGGAAAAGGAATTTCTAACAAGCACTGTCAAAAATATTTTAGAGGCGATTTAAGCAAGTCATACTTTGATTAAAATATTTTGGAGATTTGAAAAGTCTGTACCCTGGTACCTGGTAAGCTTGGCTTTAGCTAAATGACTTGAAGGGTTTTAAAAGTGTGAAGTCCCTCCCCACCCACCACCCTTTTTTTTAAGATGGAAAGACTAGCTGTGAAAGGCAACACAATACAATCAATTTTAAATCAACATCTTCACTTTATAATACACTCACATTTATACACGTTTACAAGTACAAAAGGCAAAGAAACTCAAAGAACGGAAGAACTGCATATTAACTACATTCAACAGAGTTAATACTGTGGTCTCCACTCCCCATTTTTTAAATAAAGGAAATTGTAAATGCCATTCCCACATGGACTTCACTTTTAGAAGTTGGAAACTGTGTGTGGTTCTGCACATGTCTGGGTTTCTACAGAGCTGAACTGAGATTCCATCGTGTTCCAGGCCAAATCGGCAAGAAGAAAGTCATCCATTGCTGTTTGCGTTTCATTGCTGGTGCAGAACAAGCTCCCCAGGGTTTCAAAGCCAGAATGCATGGTCTGCGTTTCCGTACTATTTAACTGAACCTTGCTTTCTAGAGCAGATAGGTTTTTAGCAGCGGAGATCCCTTCAGTTTGGGTCTCGGTGTCAGACGAATCAGTACTCATGGAAAAGCTGGAGTGTTTCAGAATACTTCCCAGAGGCAGATGAGGACTACTGTCTAAAAAGAAGTTCAAATCTGTCTGTGTCTGTGTGTCAAACATTTCAAGGCCTAAGAAATTAGAATTTCCCCTATAACTGTAGGGCTGGGCAGAGGTGTCTGCAAGTAGGAAGTCAGTTTGGGTCTCTATGTCCAGTGATTCTAAGACCGGCTCAGTGGTCATGCTGCTAAGCCCACTCTCTTCAGTTTGAGTCTGAATATTAGAGGCCGAAAAGAACTCTTCGATATCAAAATCAATTGTGGGATTCTGGGTTGAACCAGATGGGAGCTGGCTATCAGGTCCAGTGTTCGTGTCAGACAGAAGACTACGATTGTCCAGTGTCTGACCAGGCAGATTACTAGACAAGATGTTTTCTAAATCACTTAATAAATCCATAGTTTGGGTCTGATTATCTGTCATGTTCTGTGAAGGAAGCATACTGTTCTGTGCACTAAAGTTTATAACTGGTACAGATTTCTCAGTATCTTGACTTAAAGCTTTAGAGTGGTTCTGAGGTAACAAAGCATGAGTAACAGTCTCTCCTACTAAGCTGCTGCTTATAATATTGTCTGTAGTGATACCGTACGATGAATGGACACCCTCAAAAATGTCTCTGCACATTACAGCTTGGTCCATTTGTACTCGGTCATCTGTTGGATTTCCCATTCCACTGGTTTGAGTTTCTCTGGAGATTCCACCTGCCTGGAAAGAGGCATCTAAAAACGCATCAGTCTGAGCAGCTCTAGATGAAGTTACTTTAGAACTGGGCAAAAATGTCTGAGTATGAACACTAATGGGGAGGGAAACTTGAGAACCAAAAGTCAAATCAGTTTGAGAACAAGACGATACAGAGGAATCAGGGCTGACCCACTGTGCAGAAGGTATAAAGTGTTGTGTGGCGTAAGACAGATCTGTCTGTACATTGATTGAAGAAATGCTGTTCTTTTGACATGCATTCCCTAGTTCTTGTGAAGGACTAGATGAATTTTTACTCAAGTTCACTTGAACACCTGTACTAATCGGCTCAACAGCAACAGGATTTATAATCTTTGAAAGAGGAAGGCTCTCCTTAAGAGAGCAGGCTTCTGAATCAAGGCCAAGAATCAGAGTTCCTACTGACAAGGGTAGTAAGTGCACAGCACTGGAGGCAGAGCCCTGATGATCAACACCTAACACTACAGGCTGGGCTGAGGAGTCAGCTGTAGGCACAAAGACAGGCATAGGAGAAAACTGCATAACAGGTAGTTTAACCAAAGCCACTTTGGGCTTTGGTAAAAGCAATTTCTGAGGATATTTTGGAGTTGTTGTAAGAGTCTGCTTTCTGGCATTAGAGCCACAAGAATCTTCAAAAGATGCAGCTAGCTTTATTTCTGAAGTTTCTAATTTTTGAGTGTCTGGTCTTGGGATTGGTTGGTTGCTCAAAGATTCAACAGTTTTATTGGACAACTTCTGGTTTTGCAGGCAGCTTTCCATTTTTCTTTTCTTAACAGGTGGGTCCCTGAAAATGATAGAGTAAAAAGAGGTCAGAATCAACCCAGTGAAGAGAAGTCCCTTCTTTTACACCTCTTGGAGAACTGAGCCTGCTGTATGGCAGGCAGAAGTTCAGGAATATGCAAAGAGGAAAGGAGAAAGCGTACCTTTTTTTGTGGAGGGCAGGGGAGACACAGCTCTAAGTACTAGAACTTAAATTAGATTTGCAAGCATACGAATGCTAACAGATTAAATAATGCAACTTTTATCATTTCTAAAGTAGGAAGCTTTAGAAATACAAAGCTACCCCAAATATAAATCTGGCCTTTAAGATGAAGTATAGCCATGGCTGGATGGCTCAGCTGGTTGGAGTATCTTCCTGTATACCAAAAGGTTGCAGGGTTTGATTCCCAGTCAGGGCACATAGTTACGTTGTGGGTTCAATCCCCAGTTGGAGTGCATACAGGAGGCAACCAATTGATGTTTCTCTCTCTCCCTTCCTCTCTCTGGAATCAATGAATAAATCCTTGAGCGAGCATAAATAAGTAAATAAATAAAATGAAGTATAGTTTCATGTTAAGGGACCCTCAAAAGGAGTTGGCAGAAATAAGAAAGAACTGGGTTAAGTAGACATGGATCCTTTGTTAGTACTGCTACCATTTCTGAAAGTTCCTTTCTTCCATGTCTTACCTTTTCCCCATTATTCTTCCTTTCTTCCTACACTAACAGTTTTCTAGGAAGTTTCATTTGAAACTCTTCCCACAACTATTGACTTTGGGGCCACCATTTCTTCCCCTTTACCTGTGCTCCGCAGGGATCTCATGGCCAGTTCGGTAGATGTGGGACTGTAATGCAGTTCTACTTGCATACGGACAGCCACATGTGCACTGGAAGGTCTTGCCACAATCCTCTGCATGTCTCTTCAAGTCCCATTTAGTGCCATATGAATTGCTGCACTTACTACATTTATGCTTCTTTTCAGCGTGCATTTTCATAAAGTGCTAGGAAGAACACAAAGGAACCAGAATGAAAAACTGCAACTGCTCAAAACATTTCAAAAACCATCAACATACCCAAATTAACAATGATTTTACACGATAAAACACAGCAGTCCAAATCAAAGAAAATAGAAGCCGGCAAATTGGCAGTTTATCATATACCTCTTCTCCCTAGCACTTCTACTTTGTGAAAAGTGTGGAGACAGTTTTGGAAACAATCCGTAGTACCCAGCATTTAGGTTCTGATCTATAAACAAGTGCTGCAGGCAGAATAAGAAGTCTGCAGTACTTTCTATAGGACCCCCTCCAGCAAACCCTCTGGGAAGTAGTTCAGCTGCCAATTTCTTCCAGTCCTGAATCACCTCCTTTCCCAGTTGCTGGGCCCCCTTCCTCCCCTTAATATAGCCGTTTCTGAAATTCTGCCTTATCTTACTCCTTTGGGAGAACATTTCCTTTCTTTGTGCCTTTGCTTGTCGAACCTTGGAGGCACAGATTCACACAAGAGATACGAAGTACACATGTTCTCATTCTTTGAATTAACCATTTTCTCTTTCTCTCTGAATCCACTTCTGGACATCTTTCCCTCCAGAACAAGGCACGTCTCCTTCATGTGCATTATACCTTACTCACCTTTTCCAACTGGAATACTTTCAGGTGGATATCCTCACACAATTTTCCGCTCATTTCTCTACTTATGTTTGGTTAAGTAATTAGAATGCACACTAGGTTTATACCATTTGCATTTCATCCTCAGAGAAGTATACTTAAGTAAAATACCTGTTTTACGAGATAAAATTGAGAAAATGGCCTGTGAGGACCTCTGGGGCATCCTTCAATTGGACAACAGTAGAATTTTGGTACAGTTTTCAAATCTTTTCTTATTGTTGGATTTACTATGCCATCCTGAAAAAGAAAAATTATTTTAAATAATTATTTAAAAAAAAATCAATACAACAGACTGGGAGTAAAAACAAGGAATGACTAAAGACAGGAACAAGGGATCTTATTTAAAAGATTAAAATATTCTAAAACTGAATTGTGGTGATGGTTGCACAATGCTAAAATAAATGAATTATTCACTTAAATTAGGTAAACTTTATGATGTATGAACTACAGCTCAAACCGTGTTGTTTCAAATTCTATCTATTTCTTTATCCATTCTAAATCTACAATTTCTTCCCTTTGTGGATGAAAGAGGGGTTCTGTAACAAATCTAACAAAGTAATTTCCCAGGGTGATCTGATTAGACATTCCTAACTGGGCAGGTCATGGATAGTCGTGCCTCAGGTCTGTCACTTCCCTAGAAGTTTCTCTTTGCAAGCCCTGTGCATTATTTATGTGCATGTAGGTTAACATTCCTGTAAAATGCTGCTTTTCATCCCTCAGATCTAATCATAAATATTTCCCTGCCTTAAATTCTCCCATTTTCATGTAATCTTCTTTACTTCCCTCCTTAATTCCAAATATATAAAAGCAACTGTAAACTTGTCATTCTGGAAAACATTCTCTCTGTTGAGATTTTGCTTCTAGACATGTCTTCTGTTTGGGGCACATAAACTCTTAAAAACTCGTAAAAATTTTCTACAGGTTCTTCAAGTCAACAACTTGAAGCCACTTACTTGCAAAGTGGTATATTTACAGTTTATCAGGCTCAAGATTTCTATATCATCCTTAAGTCTTCCTTTCCCTTTTCTCTCATGCCCAGGGTCTTAGTATGAACTCCTAAAAAAGCCTCCCTTGACTATGATATTGGCCTTCCTGATAAAAAGCACTGACTTTCTCTGATTATCACACTGCCCCTAAAGTAGCTAAAGCTAGTTGACATAACTTTTATATAGCATACTATGTTTGAAATTTAATGATTATTATACAGGCCAGTACTAACAAAGCTTTTACTAGTGTTAGGAACTCTTCTAAGCACTTTATATACATTAACTCGTACATAATCCTAATAATCCCTTATTATTAAATGTGATTGAGATTTTGGCTAAACGTTTTCAAAGTCAAACCTCAGTTCTTGAATGTCTCCCATCTCGAACAATTCAGTTCTTGACCAAATTTTTCATGAAAAAATGTCTCAATTGTTGAACAAAATTTTGTTTCTCAACAACCCTTTCATGCTGATACCTGTATCATCAGTCATGGCTCTCTCAGGTGACAAAGGAGAGAACGTGCAAGTATGAGCCAGTTTACTGCTAAACCTCAAGTTGTTAACATCTCCGGAAACTTTGATGTGAATATTTTCTAATGGGAAAAAATAATGAGAATCATTGATTGGCTGCCTCCTGCACACCCCTATTGGGGATTGAGCCCACAACTCAGGCATGTGACCTGGACAGGAATCAAACCAGTGACCTTTTGGTTCCTGAGTCAACCACTGAGCCACACCAGCCAGGCCTCTAAGTCATGTTTTAAAAATATAAACGTTGCTGGATAAAAAGTTCTCTAAGGGTTCTCCTGTCCTTTTCACTGCTTTCAATCACAATGAATAAAAGAATTTTTAACCATCAAGAAATGTCCATTTACTCTAATTATTCCTTTCACTGAATCATCAGTTTTCATTTCTGCATGGATCCCCCTCGGCAAGGCTGCACTAGGATATTTCCATATTTTCTTATTGGATATGAAATATAGACATATATCTTAAGAACCCACATAAAACCAAAATGCAGCATGTACCCTTTACCTTACAATCCCACTCTTATCCATCATCTTTCAGAAGGGTTTGTTAATCATTTATGTTAAGGAATATTTGGTTAGGGGCAGGGTATCCTATGAAGAAAGATTAGAATAGAACTGGAACCATACAGCAACTAACAGGGAAAGGAATAAAAATTATATTTTGAAAAAATAAAAATTAGGAGAGGAACTAGAAATATGCAAGTAGCTGCAACCAAGAGAATGAAAGGGACATTTTTCACTAAATGTTATGCAAAGTGCCAACCAAATATACTCAAGATTAGCTTCAGAACTGAACTTGGCTGATAGTGAAGTCTCTGGTCTAAACACAGACTGCTTTTAAAACCCTGGGGAACTCCCATCAGCCCTTATCAGGCCTTCTCCCAATACTTTGAGAACATCAAGTATCAAAAGTAATGTTTGAATTCCTCTATTACGGATTCAGACTAAGAATACAGACTTGCCTCTCTGAGGCATTACCATATGGATATGGTTATTTTGTCACATAGGTCACTTTTAAAAAATATATATTTTATTGATTTTTTTACAGAGAGGAAGAGAGAGGGATAGAGAATTAGAAACATCGATGAGAGAGAATCATCAACCAGCTGCCTCTTGCACATCTCCTACTGGGGATATGCCCGCAACCAAGGTACATGCCCTTGACCGGAACTGAACCTGGGACCTTTCAGTCCGCAGGCTGACACTCTATCCACTGAGCCAAACTGGTTTCGGCACATAGGTCACTTTTATTAAAGAAAGTGGACCTCCTCCCCTTCCACCAAGACATCAGATGTTCAGAGACTGCTGTACCATGGTTAGAAAGGCAGAATAAGTCAAGAAAGTGAGCCTGTTTGACAAGGAAAAAAAACACAATGATGGTTCTCAGCGAGGTTTCTTTAATTCCCACTGAAACAGGTCTCCCTGGTGACTTTGGAAGGAAACTCAGAAAAGTCCATTTTTATTGTTCAACACTTTTAATTTAGAAAGGGATCTCGAGTGCTGTCTTCAGAAAAACCTGAAAAATGAATCTGACTAGAACTGAAGAATGACATTACACGTGTTCTAAGCAAGGGAGATGTATACTCTGAAAGGCTGAAGTCCAAGTAAAGATCTGTCAGTTTGTATTTTCCTGAAATATATTTTTCCTCCTTAGGTCTATTATATCTTCTGTATTGGTATCTTTACAATTCTGAACTTTACATCTTATAAACACAATTAGAAATAAACCTATTATATACATACTAGCACTACCATGGAGAGTAAGTGCTCTCTTCATGCTAAACAGATGCTGCGTAAAGTCTTGAGAGTTGTAGAGCTCCAGACAGCAATTCCAAAGAAAAGAACAATGTAAAGCGTTAAGACGCGCTTCCTAGAGTGCTGTTCAGCCAACACGTCCTCGTTAGACTGGCAGCTTTACTTGTGCTCAGAGATATAAAGTCTGCCGTAGCTGTGGGATGAAGGTGGGTGATGGCGATGGTCTATGAGCTAAAGAGAACCAAGGGATTAGGCTGTAGAATTCCTACAAGTGTATACTCATCCACTCCAGTTAAAATACAGTTAAGGAAAATAAATACGATGAAAAGAAAAGGAAGGATTTAGTTAAAAGTTAGCATGAAAGAGAAGCCCATTCCCAGAGTTACTTCACGTGTGTTCTTGCCGAAACCCCACACTCCTGGGAGGAGAATCATAGCCCCACCTGCAGGGTCTTCCTCAGCACACTTCCCTGTACGGTTCCTATTCGGGGTTCCTAGTCCTCCTGTGGGAAGGCAGCTGCTTTTCTGTTCAGTTGGTGCCTATGAAAAGATTACTCTTCATGGGCAACACAGCTGCCATAGCTATTAGACTTTCTGCTGTTAAATCCTTATCAGAAGCCTGATTCTAAGGACGTTTCCAAGGAGAAACATGCAATATGCCAGGTAATTTAAGCTTCCTCCTTAACCAATTCAGACTGTCAAAAGCTACATACTCACAAAAACTGCTTTCAGTGACTGAAGGTTTCAAATTATGTCGCTGTTGGCCAAGAAGGGCTCTAAGTGGTGGGAGGAAACTTCCAATTATAATGACTGAGAAATTATGATTTCACAGGTCTGGGTGGGACTGAACATCTGGATTTTTTTTTAAAAAAAATATATCTTATTGGTTTTTTATAGAGAGGAAGAGAGAGGGATAGAGTTAGAAACATCGATGAGAGAGAATCATCCATCAGCTGCCTCTTGCACACCCCCTACTGGGGATGCGCCCGCAACCAAGGTACATGCCCTTGACCGGAATCGAATCGGGGATCTTTCAGTCCGCAGGCCGATGCTCTATCCACTGAGCCAAACAGGTTTCGGCTGATCATCTGGATTTTTAAGAAGCCTTCCACAGATGTGCATTATATTTTATATAGGGTAGAAGGGATGTTCAGACGGGAGACATTCCTCTCGGGTCTCAAGCTGGTCCCCGCGGCGCTGAGCCGGGCCTGCAGCCGGCTCCCTCTCCCCGCGGGCGGGACCCCCCCGAGGCGCGGTGGGCGTGGTGGGAAGCACTCGGGCTCCGGGACCGGAGACTAGGTTTAAATCCCAGCACCACTCGGGTTCCGTAACCCGTTTCTCATCGATGGAATGAGACCGGGAGGTCCGTACCTCACACCAAGTTGCCGAGAGAACTGCCGAGAGAGATCCACGCCCGGGCTGCGAAGTTAGAGGCCGGCAGTCCCGGCGGGTCCGACCGGCATGACACAGTATTTCCTTATCAGTACGTGTTCCCGCGTCCTCGCTCCCTCCTTCCCCGGCCGGGACGCCCCCCTCGGCCTGGCCCGTCCTGTGTACTCGGAAGCCCCCTCTGACTCACACGGCGCCCTCCAGACCCCGGGGAGCAGCACCCGCGCCCACGCCCCCAGCGCGGCGCCGTGCGGGCGCCAGGCCTGGGGCGGCGCCGTGGGGCGGGCGGCGGCGGGCTCACCTGCAGGCGGTGGCTCTTGACCAGGTGCATGTTGAGCGCGGGGCTGTTGGGCAGGATCTTGCCGCACCCGCGCACGGTGCACAGGATGTTGGTCTGCGCGGCCCGGGACAGCTCGCTCACCGACGGCTGGATCAGCTCCCCGGCCGGCGGCGCCGGACCCGCGGGCAGCTGCTTCGCCGCCGCGGGCCGAGGCCGGCTGCCCCTCAGCCGCCCGGGGGGTCTCCACAAGCCCGAGGCGGCGGCGGCGGCGGCGGCCCCCCTCGCGGCCGCCGGGACGGCCGGGGCGCCCGAGGCCGGAGCCGCGGGTCCCACCGCCGCCGCCGCCTCAGAGGCCGCCATGGCTCCCGCACAGCAGTCGGACCCAGCTCGCAGGCCCCGCCTCTTAACACTGCACTTCCGGCAGGGGGCGGGGCCTCCAGGCTTATTAGCATCCGGTCAGATTGAGCTGGACGCGGCGCCCCCTGCAGGCCAGCGGGGAGCTGCTGCCAGGTGAGGCGGGAGGACTGCAAGACTTCATTAGGATTCCTATGAACAGGTAGAGGGTATTGTTTGTGCTTCCAAGAAACTTGACATCAGGCAATAATTGGAGAAGAAAAAGTGACGCGTTCAGAAGTTTTACTTCCCAAAGATTAGAAACAACTCAAGTGTTCAACAGCAGGACAGACAACTAGATGTTAATTACAGCTGTATTTCATTTACTGTTTACCATGTGCCAGACACTGGAGAAAGCACTTGTCATTTAGTGTCTTCAAAACAGCCATAGTGGGTATGCACTATAAGTTTTGCAGAGAAGTAACTAATTAGCCCTAGGTCACATTATACAAACAAAAGGACGTTATAATTGGCAGAACTAATCATTTTAGGGAGGCTGGGTTTACTTGCTTATATTTTAAAGGATAAGATTCCATTACTATTTGGGAGACAGTAGAGTTCAGGGCAGGGTTCTAAAACCTAAGTACCTAGAGGGACTAGGTAGGTCTGGTAGGTGAGACCAGTAGGTCAGGTATAGACAAAAGGAAGGGGTAAGGACTGTAGTGAAATGAGAAATAAATCTTTGTTTAAAGGGGAGCAGCTGCATCTCTGATATCACTGGATTTGTTTTTCAATATATTTATGTGAAAACATTCAACATTTATATATTAGCATATGTATTAGTGTTCTATGCTGCAATAACAAATATCCACAAACTAGTGGCTTAAAACACAGATTTGTTATTGTTGAAGAAACTCAAAGAGCCTGGAGGCATTGGCTGGAAATAAATGAAAGGACTTATTCAAGGGTCTTGGAGTTTGCAAGCTGGGAACACAGCAAGGCAAAAATGTGTTCCAAAGCAGGAAGAAAAGTTAAGTTCTTATAATAAAAAGTACATTCTTGAGAATTATCAGTCCTGCATTCTTAACCTTACAACTGACCCAGGATGATTATCAGTCATGTGTCAGGGCAGGCGGGGTGATGGATGCCAGGAGGTTTGGTCACATCCTTTGATCTGGATAACGGATATCAGGTGGATGTATACGTGAGTCCTTTAGGGATAGAGGGTTATCTAGAAGTCCATTTGTAAATCCAAGCATTGACACAGGACTAGAAAGGTTAAAAAAAAAAAGTTTATGGTCCCAGGTTAGTTGGAACAAGAATGGAATCTTTCATGCCTCAAATTCATGTTAATTTTTAGTAGCTTAGCTAAAATGACTCATCTTATATATTCCCCATCTTCTCTCTTTCTTCATTATCTTAGAGTTCGGGAGATTAGACTAGGATTGAGGAGTTGGCAGGGCTGCATTTCTTCTGGAGGCTCTGTGGAAGTAGCTGTTTACTTGCCTCTTCCAGCTTCTCAAAGTCAGTAATGGTGAGCTGAATCGTCATGTCACTCTGATTTCTTCAGTAGTCATATCACCTTTTGCTCTCTTCTCTTCCATTTTTGAGTACCCTAATAATTACATTGGGCCCATTCACGAACTCTCCTCATTTGCAAAGTCCCTTTGCTTGTAAGGTAATATACAGATTCCAGGGCATCTTTGAACAGGGGGTATTATTCTGCCCACCAAAGGAACTATGGTTTAAAAAGTATCGTGGGGCAAAAAAAAAACAAAAACAAAACCCAAAAAACAAAACACGCATATCTATGTGTGGGACAGGATCCATGGACTATTGTTCTTTTTCGAGTGGAGTCTAAGAGTACAGGCTCTGAAGTCTGACTGCCTGTAGTTAACTAGTAATGTGGGCTCAGCCACTTATTTGCTAGATGAAGGTTTGTTATTCACTTAAGTAGGATAAGACTAGTAATGCTGCCTGCCTTAAAGGATTGTTATGAAAATAAAACAATGCATATAAAATAGTTAGCAGTGTTTGCATATATTTAAGGGCTTGATTAATTTTAGCTAGTATTCATTTTTAGAGATTCTACCTAATGTAAAATTAAATAAATTCCTAATTAGAAAAAATTCAAAAATCCCACTGCATTATTCTGAAGCAATTTCTTTTCCCTAATTTTACATTAGGCAGTAAATACCTTCACTATAGAGGTCCTTGGATGTATATGTACTGCTCCATCTGTTCTCAAGACTACATTTGAACACAGTATGTGTATGTGGACCATCAAGCACATAATAGGTAAGTTTCCTGTATTCTCATTTCCTTAAGCAGGTACTTCTGTCTGGGAGGGCCTCAGGTGATTCCACTACAGACTGGATAATATGATTAGCATCTTCTCATTCGGTCTCAGTTGCACATCCTTGCCAAGCACCAAGGAAGGCTGTGAGCTGTGAGAAGCCAACCCAGGAACATGCAGCACCTCTGTGCAGACCTAACACAGCCATTCAGACACCGAGCAGAAGTGCCTGCCCTGTAATCCATAAGGAAATTAGCTTTAAGTCCTTGCAGACTCAGTGCCTCACTCTGAGATAACCGAAATGTCTTTGCTATTGCTAATTAAATCTAAAAACATATTTTTCACATAAAATACCTAAAGTCTGTAGAAAATACCACTGTATTATAAAGCATACTTTAACTCCTTTTTCTGATTGTATTTATGTATCTCTACAATAAGCCTCTTATTTCATCAAAATAACTTATGGCCGAAACTGGTTTGGCTCAGTGGATAGAGGGTTGGTCTGCAGACTGAAAGGTCCCAGGTTCGATTCCGGTTAAGGGCATGTACATTGGCTGCGGGCACATCCCCAGTAGAGGGTGTGCAGGAGGCAGCTGGTCAATGTTTCTCTCTCATCGATGTTTCTAGGTCTCTGTCCCTCTTCCTTCCTTTCTGTGGAAAATCAATAAAATATATTTTAAAAAAAAGTAACATGTATCAGTTTTTAAATATCTTTATTCACAAGTCAGTATAAAATTGGTCAGTTTGAATGTCATATGTACAATAGATTACGAAAAGTATATTTACAATGAAACCATTATTTTATATATTGTAATTAAATCATCTGATATACTACCTCCTGCAATAATAACTTAATAGACCCAAGTCTACCCTCTGAATATACCAAGTTTATGATTCTCCAATAAAGTTTTGAATTGGGTATAGTTTCTTGGCATTTCTTTATGTGATCCAAATCTTAAGAGAAAATTCCTAAACACCAGCAATTGGAACCAGACCTCTCTAGGAAAGGAGAGACAGGTGTGAGAAAAAGGACATCCTGACACTTAAAGACCCACAACTGCTATGCTTTGCAGGATACAAGAAAGAGGGAGCACACAGTGGAAGAGGAAATAATCATTCCCAACAATTATATTGAACATTTTAAAATTGTCAGTATTAAGGGATCATGTCTAAAACAGCTAGCCATGAAGTGAAATGTTTATGAAATACAGTCAGGGAGATGTGATGCTTACAAACCATGTATGTCTTATTTATCTTTAATTTTAAAATAATTCATTCTCTTTTGGGGTATGCAAGTGAGCAATGGAGAAAGTGGTGCATCTGCAATACCTGAAATTAAAAAAAGAAAAAGAAGAGACAATAAAAATAATCACAGGGTAAAGATTTGAGTCAGTTTAAAAATGGGCAAGATCCTGGACCCCCATTATTTGCAGAAGCAGACTATGCAATATAGAGTATGATGGGATACCAGACTGGTCATGAGAAAGCTCAGAGGTAATTAGTCAGCAAAGAGAGGTTTCAATGTAGTATGCTGTTAATTGTTCTAGCTTGCAAAATAAACTGACTACTTACCTGCTGGTGCTAAGGATTTCAATGCTTCCAGAAGATTCGGGCTAGAGAACTTTACTAGGCACCGGAGAGGTTCTTTTCTTTCTGCCAAGATGCCCCTATTTAAGTCACTTTTGAATTTCGTTTCAAGCTGTCAACAAATATATTTAATAAATGACTATTAAATATATCAGTTGGAATGCATGGATTACTCATTTCATTAATTATTATCATCAAGAAATACAGGGATTAGTGGATGAGAGAAGCATTAATTTGATAACTGAAAATGTAGAGGGCAACCAGCATATCAAACGATAGAACACACAAAATGCTAAGTGTGCACAGTGCCTGACACACAGGAGATTCTGGATGGCAGTTTCACCCACAGGTGTTCTATTTTGCATTCTTTTTTTAAAAAAAATATATTTTTATTGATGTCAGAGAGGAAGAGAGGAGATAGAAACATCAATGATAAGAGATATTGGCTGCCTCTTGCACGCCCCCTACTGGGGATTGAGTCTGTAACATGGCACGTGTCTGGGACCCTTCAGTCTGTATGCCAACAATCTATCCACCGAGCCAAACCAGCTAGGGAATATTTTGCATTCTTAGTGGAAAATTAGCACTATCTTTGGTAACCTGTTATTTCAATATAAAAATGGCATGTCTTTTGAATCACTACCATGATTTCTTTACTTCTCATTATGGAAGATTAAAAAAAAAAACATACAAAAGTAAGGTGCACAGTATAATGAGTCCCATGTGCATATCACTGAGCTGAAACAATAATCAACTATGGTCAGTATTTTTTCACTTACTACCTTTCTTCCCATTCCCTACAGCCTACCCACATTGGATTATTCTGAAGCAAACCCAGGACATTATAGTATTCCATCTGTAAATATTTCAATATGTATCTAAAAACACCTAAAAAGGATGCTTTTCACCCCCTAACATTACCACACATAAAAAAAAACTTAATATCAAATATCCAAGTATTGCTAATTCAATAGGTTCTTGGCTCTTAGATTCTAATTTCAAATTTTTTTTTAAACTTAAAGCGATCCTTTGCGTTTAGAGGCAGTATGTTGAAATAGCTGAAGAGTGAGTAATGCCTGCAACTAACTCAAATGGTTCAGCATAAAGAAAGAAAGCAAGTTTACCATTGGTGAACTGAAGCAAAGGGGCGTGGATATTCACTGTAATATTCTTGCAAGTTTTCTGAAGGTTTGACATTTTTCAAAATAGGAAGTGGGGAAAAATTAGTGGCAGGTATGCATCAATGTGCACCTTGACTTATAGAATAGAGCCATTCTAAGATATATGTAAAGGGAAATTTTGTAGATTAAGTCTTCTGTATACTCCTTCAGTGGATCTCTAACTTTAGCGTGCAAAATTAGCTCGAGGGCTTGTGAAACCAGATGGCATCTCCGGAATTCTGATCCAGTAGAACTAAAGTGGGGCCGAGAATCCGAATTTCTTATCTATTCCTAGGTGATGCTGGTACCGCTGGTCCAGCGAAGACACTTTGAGAACCAGTGTCCCACAGTACAAGCTTTCTAAAGGAATTGGATTAAAACCTGCTATTCAGAAAACCAAACTTGAAAGGTGTTAATCAGCTATTCGTAATAAAAACACAAACCAAATAAGCATTATGCCTAAATGAGCAGATCTACGGCAGATTTGAAGCGTGTGGCCTGTAGCTGTAGGCGCACTAAGCAGAAAGAATTTTAATGAGATGTTTAAGGGGAGGAGAGTGTTATATGTGCATGAGTATGACATTAGTGATCATGACAAAACCTTGAATTCTTGTAAGGGTGGCAATCGTCTTCTTGGTAGGCAGTGGTACACTTCTAAGAAGAGCTAGGTTTACAAAACTAACAAGGCTACTGTTTTTTTCTCCATGTGATACCAACTGGACTATATAATGTCTTGTTTATTCACTCTTTTATTCAACAAGTCTTTATGAGCACCCGCTGCATTGTAAGTATTGTTCTAGGTATGGATGGATTAGAAATTTTCCCCCTCAAAAATATAGATCACAGCCAATTATATATAATGGAATTAATATGAAAGATGAAATAAAAAGGTAAATTCAAAATTTCCAAAGGTCTTCTTTATTAATAGAGGAACTTACTAAATATTATAGAGAAGTCTATTTTAACTCATAAAGTGATTATACAAAATAAAAGCGACAAATGAATAAGAAAGTTTCTTAGAACCAGTTCACTTAGATGTTTTGTTCTCTTAAGAAAATATTGATAACTGTAGACAGTTTATAGCAATGTCCTACCTTATATTGTGCAAATTCTAGTCTTGGTTGAGGATAGGCTCCGAAAATTTCTTGAGTCACTCTTTGTACTCTGTCTTTTTCTATTATGTTTTCATGAATGATCCTTGAATCCACTATAGATGGAAGATTTCAAATAAAAGAGCTGTTAGGAATATATTTCATCCCCAAATTATCCCCTTTTAATTCCTAACCTTTCAACTTGCTTGTATAATTTAAAGATAATGTTTACTGGTTCTTCTTTTGATTGTAATATTTTTTTACTGTAGAAAAATTGGAAAGCACTGATAAAAAAGAAAATAAAAGCCCCTCATAATTCTACCATACAGAAATAAGTACAGTTAACATTTTATATATTCCTGTGTAGCCCTTTTTCAGAGAATAAAAAGTATATTTTTAAAACTGGGATTATAAAATATACACAATTTTCTATTCTGCTCTCTCTACTTAACATGAAATCAATAGCAGTTCCTATGCCATTGGAAAGCCATAAAAATGTTTCAGAATGGCTGTACCATTTCATTTTATTGCCAACTCATTGCTAAGAGATAGGAAAATTTTCATTTTTAAGAGTATACTTTCAAATTTCAGTTTTTATTTTAAAACACACATACTGTTTATATCTAGCTCAAGGTTTCTTTCTTGTAGAGGTGTAGAGGCGTTGTGAGTTTCAAAAGTCTAGGGGGGGGAAAAAAGAAAAAGTTAATGTTTTCCTGATTTTAACACCTTCAAGTATAGCTATTACTTGTTTTAGTACATAAAAATATGTCAAGTTTTATCTATTTTTTTGTAATCCTCACCCAAGGATTTCCCCCCAACCCTCAATGATTTTTAAAGAGAATAGAAGGAACAGAAAAGGAGAAAGAAACACCCATGCAAGCAACACATCGATTGGTTGCCTCCTGTACACGCCCTGACTGGGGCTAGGAACAAACCTGAAACCTAGGTATGTGCCCCTGACTGGGAATTGAACCCGAGACCCTTCGTTGCTTGGGCCAATGACCAATGAGCCACACCAGCCAGGGCTCAAATTTTATAGTATTTATTTTTTCAAACAAGAAGAGATTTAAGGCCATATCCAGGCCGAGTGGAGCATTTCTCCTAGAACAGGATATTGACAGAGACATCTAGGGCCAGCATCATAGTTGTTTTGCCTGAGGAGCTCTGTCTATACTTTGTTATCATAAAAATGGACCTGGAAGAAATAGGTGGTGAGTACAAAAGCTAGAAAAATCAGGGCAGAATTTGCAATGTGAAGTTTTAGATTTAATTATAAAGCTATGTCTTTATAACCACAAGAAACTCACTGAGAGTTTTTTTATAAAAATAATTTTCCTACTAAAAGTCTGAATTTCTCAAATCCCTTCTCTGACCTTCCCCCACTAAAGTCACTGTTTTTATAATTAAGTATTTGACTACGTGTATTTTCCTTAGAATGCAACTGTCAGAGCAGAACAGTTGATAGCAATTTGATGGGAATGTGGCTGGTAAGAGGGGAGGAGGCTGCTATGGGAGAAAAATCATTATCTAGCCTCTTTATGCTAAATTTGTTTTCCTTAGAGGGCTTGTAGAGCCATCACTCCTTTCTATGTAGAATAGATGAAATATATAAGTATAGAGTAGGGCAAAAATAGGTTTACAATTGTATTAAAACACAAGAGTTTAGTCTTGTGTTATTTATTAATTATTGTATTATTTTCCATGTTAACAACTGTAAACCTACTTTTGTCCCACCCTGTGTAATATATCAAGAGCTCAAAAATATACATAGGGCATTAATGACCCATCTACAGGAGTCTGAACATATGAGCACACAGATACCATGCACAGGAGCAAATGACACTGAACATGTGACTACGGCCAGATCCATTCTTATAATTAAAAGGGAACGATGCATTTAAATAATTTTAACAAATAAATACATTGTGGGAATTAATAAACCAATGCTTTTTCCTTTACTTCTAACCCCTGTATCACCTACTGGAGTGATGGGACAAAAAATTAATTCTACTTCTCTCTTGCATAATAGAAGAGAATAGTAGAATTACTTTTTTTGTAATTAGCTTAAACAGGCATTAAGTTATTCTAAAGAGAAAATAAACTCTAATTAGAATAGCTGATCTGGAAATTGGGATCTAACAGACTCCAATAACTAATGAGCAGTATAAAACATAAAATACGATTATAAAAAGGTGATAGTGAGGCATTTCATTACTTTGTTTTCTTTATTGTAAACTAACTGAAAGTTTTCTCTGCTTCAGTAATACCTGAAGGGATCTCCTTTTATTGCAGGTGAACTTTTCCACCTGTCAGTGGCTTGTAAAGAGAAAACGGAGACTTAACTTTAAACAGTCACTGATGGGCTCACCTGATTATACTGTTTAAACACAATAGCCTTAAGAGAGTCCAGATATCGGCTTCTGAAGTCCATTTTCACAATCCGATGGTGTTTGCTAGCAACTGTCAGTGCCTTAAAGTGAAAATTAGAAAAATATTAGGATTACTGTGTCTATTCCTGTATTTACAATACATGTCAAAAGTAAAATTAAGAGTGGCAATAAGTGAATACTTTTTACTTTAGAGTGAAAAGAAACCCAGAAAAAATTTAATCTCATGTCCTGTTACTCACCTTTTTTAAAAGACAAAAAAAAAAAAAAAAAAAAAAAAAAAAAAAAAAAAAGGAGAAAAAAAAAAAGCTAATGGCATTAAAATTCTCATAAATGCAAAATCTTTTATAGCATTTTTAGAACTGTGTTCTTATTTAAAGTTAGGACTTATAATAAATTAAGTTCAGACAGGAATAAACATGAATACTCAAATGTTACCATTTTAGAATACCAATCATCTAATATTACAATGATACTGCCACACTAAAATGCAAATATGTATGCTTTAGGACAAATACTGAAGAAAAAATATACATTAAGTGCAATTTATAAAAACTTCCCATTATCTGGAAAAACAAGTTAGAAGTCAGAAACAGGATTAATAAAATATTTACCTGGAACTCGAGGATAGAGATAAGTTTGCCTTAAGATTCACAATGGAGATAAACATTAGCTTGGGGGGCAGTGTTTAAACTAGCTGTGCCAGGGTGGACTAGCCTGGTTGTAAGTGGATGAACCACGGCTATATATTAAGGAGGAAAAGATCCCGCACATAAAGAAGCAGAGCTGTGTTAAAGGAAAGTAGAAGCATGCAGCAGTAGAAATCCTTCTGCCATTTCAGTAAACAGCCAAGGAATTTAAATGACAAGCAAGTCTGCCCACTAGGATCCTGTAGCTCTTAGTTCCATACTGTGGAGTGCTCACTCTACTAAGGTTGATGGAGTCTGGATGGTGGAGCTGCTCACCTACAACCAGCTTAAATGGTAGCTCTGGCACCAACGTAGGTGCCACTGTGGATGTGAATATTAATATAGTGAAAACAGCGGCAGTTGCCAGGCCTGTGTAGGAATGGCTTATTCAGGGGAAAGATGTTTGGAAGCCAGAGCAATAACAAAAAGCAGGCTGTGAGGAGTGGCTCCTTCTTGTGCACAGAATGTAAGAAAAATGATTACAAATGAAAATGATGTTCATTAATAGGTAAATGATGCAGTCACAAGAAAGTTGTGAGGTGTATCATATGGAAACACATGGAAATGTTAAAGAAGCAAATGACAGATGCTATGCTACTCTGTTTTTAGTAATGAAACATCTGAAAGGAAATAACAAAACTGTTAACAGTAATAATTTTGGTAAATAGGATTGGGAAAAAGGATATGAAGTTTTAAAAGACTGAGGGCTGATCTTTAAAGACCTCTGTGTTGACTGAATTTTTAATATTAAATATGCATTACTTTTAGATTAAAAGACAATGAGCTCTGAACCAATGCTTATACCATTTTCCCATATACAGAACCACACTTCCTCATTTTAGGAAATCAAGAATTACATGTGGCATTTTACATATAGTGCTTAATCCTACATAGACCTCTGAAATAGGATAATACAATGTTATACTGTAGTAACTGGTTCCATACCTGACCCAGAAGGGGAATGCTGCTCCTCAGCCTGGAAGAAGATATGAAGACATACGGAGTCTGGGAATAGTACACCACGTAAGTAGGTTTGTACTGGTTTGGCTTTTTATACTGTGTTCCCCAGGCAATTCGAATCCATACTGCATTCTCCTCAGTATCCCTGAAGGTGACTGATACCTTATTAAAAAGAAAATTTAAGTTTCCTAAGTAAAATCTTGTAGCATCTAGAGGTGAAGGATGTCACTGTAATCTTCCACAGTATTTTCTCCTACTTTTTTGGAAAGATTCTTTCCAAAAGATTCTTCCCAAAAATTGGGACTGTTTTAAAACGTCTCGGGACGCCGGACAAATTGTTAAAAATCGGGACTGTCCTGCCAAAAGCGGGATGTCTGGTCACCTTAATCTAAGTGTATGTTTTCTGGAGAGACATGCTGCATCACGTATTAAAATTTTCATAAAGGTCTATATACGATCCAAAAAAGGTTTTTTTTTTTAAAAAAAATCAATGGGCTGAAAAAAAAAAAAAAAAAAGATGCCCAGAGAATCAGTATAATTCTGAACAGCTGGCCTCCAGGTGTTCCATCTCACATTCTTATAGCAAGATCCTCAGATACCTGAAGAGGTGGGGCCCAAATATACACCTATATTATTTTACAAAGAAAATATCTCAATAGCTATCATCCTGTTATAGCCACGATAAAGCATTTTTCACAAATGATAGCTCAGATTAATAATGCTCAAGTTTAACTATCGATAGGTCACCAATCCTAAGTGGTTTGGCTAACCTGAGAATGTACCCTCTAGTAAACTGTCATTTACTGACTACCACCTGCAAGCTACTGAACATCTATACTAATCTATACTAATAAAAGGGTAATATGCCAATTAGACCAGGTCAACCAGGCATCTTCTGGATGTCCAACTTCCTTCTGGACAAAGCCACGTTGGCGGGTGGTTAGGGGCGATTAGGCCGGCATAGGGGAGCAAGCAGGGGGTGATCAGGATGGCAGGGGAGGGGCAGTTAGGGGGTGATCAGGCTGGCACGGGAGGGAAGTTAGGGGGGAGATCAGGCCAGTAGGGTAGGGTAGTAGTGGGTTATGAGGCTGGCAAGGGAGGGTAGTTAGGCAGTGATCAGGTCAGCAGGTAGAGGTGGTTAGGGATAATCAGGCAGGCAGGCAGGTGAGGAAGCAGCTAGGAACCAGCAGTCCCAGATTGTGAGAGGGATGTCCCAGATTGCAGAGGGTGCAGGCTGGGCTGAGGGACACTGTCCATGCACAATTTCATGCACCGGGCCTCTAGTGCTACATAATAAAACCCTAATATGCAAATAGACTGAACAGCAGAACAAATGGTCGCTATGACCACCAGGGGGCAGACGCTTAATGCAGGAGCTGCCCCTAAGTGGTCAGTGAGCTCCCCCAGCTGGAGCCCTGCTCAGCCAGAAGCCAGGTTCATAGCTTGTGATCACAGTGGTGGCGGGAGCCTCTCCTGCCTCTGAGGCAATGCTAAGGAGCAGTGAGCCCAGCTTCTGGCTGAGAGGCGCTTCCCCTGTGGGAATGCACTGACCACCAAAGGGCATCTCTTGTGCTGTTCAGCCAGAAGCTGAGCTCACAGCTGGTGAGCGCAGCAGTGGTGGAAGGAGCCTCTCCTGCCTCCAAGCAGGTAAGTGGTAAGGAACAAGGGGTCCTGGACGGCGAGAGCCGATCAAGGACTGGGCCTAAGCTGGCAGTCAGACATCCCCTAAGGGGGGATGTCTGTGAGAGGGTGCTGGGCCTCTAGTATTATAATAAACTTTAATATTCAACACAGAATTCCTACATATTTAACAGATTATTATACATGATATAGAAGCATAAAGAAAGAAAACATGTTTATAACAGAAACATTTCGTTTGTATCTTTTTTGTAAGTTTTTCAAGAAGTTTGAATAGTTTCCTCCCCCTCCCTCCCTCCCTCTCTCTCTCTCTCTCTCTCTCTCTCTCTCTGGGCCTGGATTGAATCCCTAAACCACAGGCTCAGTCCATCACTCCCCAGTTAGCGTTCCTGTGCCTTCTCACACCAGCTTTTCTACCCAATTGATTCAAGGACAGGAATTCTTTTTTTTTTTTTTTTTAAATCAATCTTTATTGTTCATATTATTACACAGGTTCCTCGTTTCTTCCCCCCTCCACCAGGTTCCCACCCCATCCTCTGCCCCCTCAAGGGACAGGAATTCTTAACCTGAAGTCCATAGTTAGAATTCAGGGAATCTATGAACTTGGTGGTGGTGGTGGTGGAGATTATATCTTTATTTGCACTAATTTCAATTGAAAATTATCATCTTCAATTGTGAAAGCAGGCAACAAAACAGTAGAACTTTAGAACCAGTTACTTTGTTGTTCACAGAAATTCCAATTTTTTTTTATCACATTACAATTATTGTAGATGCCTCAAAAATATCATTTACACCCATTACTACTTTGAAACTAGTTGTTTGTAGACCCACCATAAGACTATTTGTGTTAATAAAGAAACACATACAGTACTATATCACAATTTAGTATTTTAATACCTTAATAACTGTATGTTAATATAACTGGCTTCCCTTGTAATTCTATGTCTTTTATTTTATAGCATTTAAAAACATTTCTGATAAGTGGTCTATAAGCTTTACTAATAGCCAAAGGAGGTCCTTGGCACAATAAGAGTTAAGATATCTGTCCTAGAGCAGCAAGTGAGTCACTCCTCAGTCCTGAGAACCAAGAGATGCTCCTTGGCATGACATTACCACCATCAGCCTTTGGGAAAGTGGGGTTATCCATTCGCTGGCTAAGTTATGAGGAGGAGAGTGAAGACCAGCTGGAAGTCTTGGTCAGTTGAGAAAAGTGGTTAGGACGTGTCACCCAGCTCAGGGGAACAATGGATAAGGTGACACAGGAGCTTTACTTGTACACTCCTCTCTTCTAAAACATCATGTACACAGCACATCAGTCTCCAGCTGACCTTACAAATAGTACAGATATGTCTCATAATAAAGCTCCTTTGTTCCCCTCAGCCTCTCCTGCTAGTCTATCTGAGGTTCATTCAGGAGGTAAAAGCTTTTGGAAAATGGCAGTGATCAAAAGAGAAGAAATCTAACAACTGGAATACGTGGGCGTTAAAGTAGGAGGAAATATGAGCGTTTTCGACTCTTTTCTCCTGGAATGGTGGGGGCAGGAGGCATGGGGTTCAGAGAACAGAAGTTCCTGGTGCCTAAAATAGGTATGTCTAATTTAGGCGGGTGAATGAGGAGAGGCTACTGTAAAGGAAGCAGATAAATTCTGAACTGGCGCCAAGAGAAAAGCCCCTTGGGCTGTTTCTTGTTTTGGGTGAAGTAGTGTGGGAACGTTGCCAAGAGTGGTTCTTAAAAACAAGTTAGTCAGTCATGTTCAACTTAACAAAAAGGCTGGTTCCAAGAGGGTCTTAACCATAAATCCACAATATTTATGGAAGGCTGGCTAGGGACTCTGCCATTAAGTCTTTGTAAAGAAAACAATGCTGTGTGGGCCACAGCCAGATAGGACTCTCCTTTCACCTCTGAAAAGTTTATAATTTCATGGTAAGAGTATTTAAAAAAAAAAAAAAAAGAATATTTTTCAAATAATTTAGTAAAAAATAACAACTTATGGACAAGGTAGAAAATAGTACTTATTCATAAAAGAGGGGGGAAAAGGAGACATACCTTCTTTTGTCTCACAATTATCCTTGAATTAATTTATAAATTAAATGGATGACCCCTCCCCCACTCAAAATGCTGAAGATTTTGTTTGTTTTATAAATCTGATTTTATGATATCAAGGTTCATCTTGAAGAATGGTCAGGATGTTTTTGATAAAGTTATTGGGGATGGGCCAAGGTGGACTTGCCTTAATAGTTATTACAATATTTAAAAAACTATATCAATAAAAGGAACAGGGGAGTCTGCACAGAACATGCCCAATTCATTTATTTCCTAGTATTTGTTAATCCTCACCCAAGGATATTTAAAAAAAAATTTTCTTTTAAGTGAGAGTGGATAGGAAAGGGGAGAGAGAAACTTCAATGTGAAAGAGACACATCAATTGGTTGCCTCCTGCATTCACCCAACCAGGGCCGGGGATGGAACGTGCAACCCAGTACATGCCCTTGACTGGGAATTAAACCCTCAGCCCTTTGGTACGTGGGCTCTATCCACTGAACAACACTGGCCAGGGCTCCCCCAGTATTCAGCTGTTCTTATCAGTGAGGAGCAGAATGGTCAGAGTTCTGCTGCCAGGGAGCCTACAGGTTGGGAGGAAAACTAACAGTTAAACCAGAAAATGGTTAGATTATGGTGATAGTAGCACAGGACAGGGGAGCAACCTGTCCAGGCAGGGAAGCACCATTTAAGTGGAGGTCAGAGGGACAGGGAGCAACAAGCTGTGCAAAAGCCAGGTGGTGGAGGTTGTTCCAAGGAGACGGAACATCCTATGGTAAATCCAAGAACTCATAGAAGATTAGTTCAGTGTGGCTGGAGTGTCGAGTACAGGTGATGACACCTGTGGAGGCAGGCAGTGGATCCAGGAGAGCATGAGGAGAATCAGATCAAGGAGCAGAATATAGACTGTAAAAGTATGAATGAATCTGAAGATTCCAATGATGACAAACCAGTGGGAAAAGCTGAATTAGTCAACAAATAGTGTTGGGAAAAATAATTAGATTCTGAAAGGGAAATGATGAACGACTCTATTCCTACCTCCCTCTTTTCTCCCACTAAAGAAAATTCCTGTAGTGTATTTGAAATCCCAAATTTCAAAATTCCCTCCATTGTTGGAGGGCTGAATGAAAAACCTTGTGGGGTGCTCTAGTGAAGGGCAGAAGTAAAGGAAAGGAATCATGAAGATGGCACATGAGTTTAGGATGAGTGGAAGACTACCGGGAGAAGACAGATGTTCAAGAACAAGAGGGTTCAACTGGCTGAGTGTGACCTTGAGACAAGAAATGGATGTTGTGCATCTTTTTAGCCCCAACATCTGGACCTTGGCAAAGAGTAAGCTGAGAAAGCCTGCCAGTGTAGATATGAAGAGGTTGGCTTGGAAGCTACCCACCCAGGTTTAAACCCTGGCTCTACAATTTCCAGCTGCATAACCCACCTAGGTGGATGCAATGACTTAGTAATTGGGAAGAGCTTAGAACAGAGCCCAGCACACATAGGTATTTGCAATCAGTATGACTGTTCAAATAGGCTGCAGAATTTTGTTATAAATATCACTGGTATCCTTCAACAGGGAGGGTCTCAAAATTCATCGGGCATCAGCATCGCCTAGAGGGCTTGGGCTCACCCGCAGTGTCTGAGTCTGTAGGTCTGGGATGGAGCCCAAGTAGCTGCATGTCTACCACATTCCCAGGCAAAGCTGATTCTGCTGGTCTCGGATCACACTATGAGAACCACTGCCCTTCAAAACTCAGTCCCAGCACTCTCCTTGCCGGGAGCACACCCCCACTTTTCTTCCCTTTTAGGCATGCAGCTCTTAAACTCTAAAGGACCCTGAGAGAGTTGTAACCAAGGGAGCAATGGGCAGTGGCAGCCCATCCTGGGCTAACCTCCTGAACCTGTCCCCAAGGCCCCTTTTTCTCTGACTTTTCAGTGAGCCAAAGCAGCCTGTCTAGGCTCTCCTGCTGCTTCTACTCGAAGCCCTTCCTTGGTTCACTGTCCCAAGCTTTAATGCACTCTAAAAACAACAACAAAAATAAAACAAAACGACTCAGTTTTAAACTGGCATTGAGGGCAGTAGCCAGAGAGCAAGGGGCTTAATCATGAAACCAGTGAGGATGGATTACCCGTTCAACTTTTTGGGGAGGTCTTTGAAGGGGAGCAATATCCTTCTGGAACAACTAAGAAATAAGGCAAAGAGTTGGCAGGTGGAGGGCAGCATATAACTCATATTACCAAGACACTCATATGACTGGCTCATATCTGCAGACAAGTGGCCCCCTGGACAATAAAACCCATGTGGCTGCTGGCAGAATCACTCCGGGTGGCCTGCCTTGCGGGGGCAGAGCTGGGCCCTGGAGCCATAGACCAGAACAGGTGCCCCTGCAGGCTGCTCTCTCACTCAGGTTAAGTCAGTGCTTTGTTGGAGAAACATGAAGGGATAGTGATGAAGGGACTCCTACATAAGGGACAAGAAATATTTCCTTCCAAGAGTTTTATGATTAAGGATGAGCATGGAGAATAGATGTACTTTTGCGAGGACTTGGGCATGTTTATAAGCATTAGAGTAGGCATCAGTAGATGAAGGGGTTGAGAATGTGAAAGAATAGAGAGAAACCAAGATGTAGGCCCCATGAGGATGTAGGAGATGGGTTCAAAGCACATGAAGAAGGGTCATTATAAGAAAGGAGAAAATATGTTCACTGACAAGTGGATACATAGAAAGAATGACAAGTTACAAAGGATGAGGAAAAGAGATGGAAAGATCAAAGAATTGTGTATGAAAAAAGAGGGAACACTACTACTCTAAGTAGGACAGCCCTAGCATGGCAAATGTGATTTTTTGGCATGTTTTTATATGTGAGGACGAAGACAGAATAACGTGGAAAGAGAATGAAGGAGAGATTGTCCAAACCTATCACAATTGGTGGTGCTTGTGGAAATGGAATGGCAGGAAGATTCTGTGGGTGCCATTGACCATTACAGGAGCCACTAGGCACCCATGGCTATTTAAGTAAAATTTTATGAAGTTAAATAAGGTCAACATTTTAGATACTCAGTCACACCAGCCACATATCAGTGCTCAGTAGCCACTTGTGGCTATTGGTTTGTGTACTAGACAGTGACGATATACAACATTCCCATCATTGCAGAGTTCTATTGGATGGGGCTGCTACTGAGAAAGAAGCACTTGCCCTTGAAGTGAGAGGTGAGGGGAACCCAGCCCATGTGGTTCAGCAGTTGAGCGTCGACCTATGAACCAGGTGGTCACGGTTCAATTCTGGGTCAGAGCACATGTTCGGGTTGTGGGCTGATTCCCAGTGTGAGGCATGCAGGAGGCAGCCGATCAATGATTCTGTCTCATCATTGATATTTCTATATCACTCTCCATCTTCAGTCCTCTCTCTAAAATCAATTAAAAAATTTTTTTAAAGAGAGAGGTGAGCGGAAAGGAAAGTTTGCATAATTAAAAAGTTCTTTTTTATTATGAACTAGATTAGTATGGAATAAGTTCTTTTTTGTTATGGACTAGAATAGTATGGAATATTATTAATTGAAATTTTTACAAATAAAAAAAGGTAGTAGCACAGATGCATGGAATTAAATTTCACTGAAGTTCAGAAAGATTTTAATCTTACATTTTTTAAGGCTCTCTGAAGAATTTTCTTAAATGAACTTTTGAATTGTTTCATATCAAAAAGGTCAATATCTTCACCTGTCAAAGTGAAAAAAAAAATTAAGGGAGCTGCAATGTCTTCAATAAATATATTTCAAAGACCCCGAGGCAAAGCATTTGTATAACCTCAAAGAGCAATATTTAAATCACAGAGATGCTGCTGATACTCTGACACAGTAATGCGAAATATATTTTGCATTTTCCCATAAATGAGTAATAATCACCTCATTTTGAAAAAAAAGTGATTTAAGAGGAACATACTGCTATTCATTTTTAAATAGCCAAAATATCAAATGTAAATGTTCACTTTTTATTATTATTTTTTAGACAAGTTATTTTTAAAAATCTTCATTGTTGAAAGTATTAAATATGTTCCACTTTTCCCTCAATGAACTCCTTTGGCCTGCTATCGTAAATGTTTACTTTAAAATGTTTACCTGGTTCTTTAGTCATCTGAAAAACATCCCAAATTTTCTGGTGCTGATGAAATTGAGTATCTGAGAGAGGAAGGAAGAAATTATTGCTATTATATCATAGAACTTTTATGTACTGTGCTTATGAATACATATGTTTAATAACATGAAAGTGGAGAAAATAGTAATTTATCAATTCAGTTATACATTTTTATTCAAATATAAATTTTACATGGATGACATTAACTCCAGACAAATAAAACACATCATAAAGAAATACTCAATCTAGTAGAGCTTTAGCATTTACTCTTAAGTCAGATCATTTATTCTATTTCCACACAGAATGCAGCATTTATTGAGCATGCCAGGGATGGTGTGCTCCCCATAAATGGTGTGTGTATTAGCTGGCTGTTCCTTTGTCTGGAGCAGTCTTCTTCTAGCTTGTTGCACACTTCACTCCTGTACTTCATCTAGTCTCTAATAAAATGCCACCTATGCAGTGGCCTACCCTGATCGCCGTACCCAAACTGACCACCCACCCCACCCTGCTTTAGTTTACTTCATAGCACTTATCATTATCCTATATCATATCATATATTTAGATGGTCATTTGTATAGTGCTTGTGTCCCCAACTAGAATCCTGTGGAATACAGGACTTTGTCTTGTGCACTGTTGTATTCAGTATCTAGACACTGGCTGGCACTCCACATTATATCTGATGAATGAATGAATGTTTGATATAGAAGACATTATAAACTTAGGAGTGTCTTGGAGTAAAAATGGACCTAGAAAGTTATTAAGTTCAGTCCCACCACATTGTCATCCCGCCTTTACTCTGTCCCTGTTCTGACCTCCATCTGCATCCCTGTGTCTTTGCACCTAAGATCAAGGTACTCTGCACCCCATAAAAAAAAGGCTGATGACCCCAACACACAAGGGCACCAACCTATACTGTGCTTTTTGTACTTCCTGTCCTTCCTACAGTTTAGTGGTTGTTGTTTTTTTTTTTGTTTTGTTTTGTTGTTGTTGTTGTTTTGTTTTATATTTGGGGCCTGCTGTCCCCAGATCTCTCTCTCACCCCATTTATAGCAATGGCCTGACAATTCTTGATTCCCTAAGCTTGGTCTAAAACAGGTGTAATCTGGCACAATGTGATGCCTGCCCAAAAGACAGCATCTGAAGTGTTTTAGTTCCTTTCTGGTATTTTCTTCGTGGTTCTGTATTTCAGAGTTAAGATAGCCTGCTAACTTATCTCTGAATAAGGTTGTTATAATAATAGAAATTAAAATTTTTGTTGTAATAATTCCATTAAATATCACGCAAAAGTTCATGGTAAGTGGCAAGGACTTAAACACATGAAGACATTTCCTCAAATAGAACACGTCCCAGGCTACCCCATGATCTTTGTGACACACTCGCTCCCCCTCTAGTGTTCCCATCTTACTAGCAAAGGGCTCCACTGTCCTTCTAGTTGCACCTGTAGATCCCTGGAGCCATGTGTGCTTCTCCCACTCAGTCCCCCTAGACCAGTGGTCACCAACCGGTGGTCCATGGACCACCGGTGATCCCTGAGGTTTGAAAGGTTGGTGACCGCTGCCCTAGACCACACCACGTTCAAAGTCCAGTCAGTTTTAATCCTTACATCCCTTACAAGATGTAATTACTATAATAAGAACAAATTTTCAGAAATATATTTTCAATTCTATTAATATGTACTTATATATGCCAGTCATTGTGCTAAGAACCTTTCAAGCACATTTAACCTTCACAGTGATTCTGTGCTATATTATTATAATGTTATTATATTAATAGGTGCTATTATTGTTTCTATTTACTAGTAGAAGTCTGGGGCCCAGAAAGGCAATGTGACTTGGCAAAGGACACAGGAGTGGTAAGCGATAGAGCTGGGATTTTACACACCAGGTCAACTTGAGCCCTTATCTACACAATATTGACTCTCTGATGAAACTGTATTGGTTCACTATAAATACAAATTACTAGAACTTACAAATAATGTCTAAAAGGGCAGCATCATTGACACTCGCATGCTTCTCCTGAAAGAAAAGGTAAAATATTCATTAAACAAGGCTATCGGTTTGATTCTACTCTAGAATCACAGCACATTTTAGAATTGCTTAGGACAGACTATGAGCACCCTCTCAATACTTTACTCACAGCTTGTCTCCAATCTACACTCTCCTGTTAAGTAACAAATACACCTTCTGACTCATGTTTAGTACAGGTACTCACACCTGTTCTCCCACAATCTACTCTTCATTCATCACTTTTAATTTTTGTTTTTCTCAACTTCCTCTACAATAGGGTTTCTTAACTAGGCACTACTGACGTTTTCTGTCAGATAATCCTATGTTGTGGAGAGCTGTTGTAAGACATTAAGAAGTGCCCTGGTCTCTAACCACTGGAATCCAATAGCACCCCACTCCTATAGTTTTGACAATCAAAAATTTCTCCAGACATTGTACCCTCCGGAAGACAAAATTCATCCCAGCTGAGAACCACTATTCTATACATTATACATTTATATGTATGCATAGCATATAGTTTCTTTCAATGTGCACACAAACTTCTAATTTATTCTTTCTAATGGCTGAATAATATTTTATGTGGAGTATAATCATCTCTATGTATAGTTGTTTGTTTGCAATTTTTTGTTTTTATAAACAATGCTAGTTAACGTTTATTTATATATATTTACATATTTATAACTACATACATATGTTTATCAATTATATTTATATATATTTATTTTTTTATGATTTTACCCACATTAATTTCCAGAAATGGAACTGCTGGGTGATAAAGTATATTTATTTAAAAATGACTAAGGGAAAGGTATACTGAAATATGGGAATTCTTTGTACTAGCAAATTTTCTGAAAGTCTGGAATCTTTTTAAAGCAAAAAGCAAATAAATAAATACATGTGAAAGAGTGTCTCTTTCTACACAACTTGACCAGCACATCTGAGTATTATTATCTTTTCATTTTTGACAATCTGATAGGTATAAAAAGAATACTGCTCATTACTTGTATTGATTGTCTGGTTTGTTTCTCTCATGGAATTCACTTTTTTCTTAGTGATTTGAAAGTTGAAAAGCCAATTAAAAATTAGTATCTTCTCTGCTATAGTAGTCTCCACTATAGAAGATAAGGGGGCAGAGAAGAACATAACCTCCTCACTTCACAGCTTAGCAGCTGCCTTCAATCTCTTTTGGACAAAGGGAACAAAGAAAAAAACAAAGCATAAAGTTCCAAGTTAATCATTTTGAACATTGTTACCTCACAAAGCATAACCAAGTCATGAACAAGAGATTCCTTTCTCTTCCGGAAGTTTATAGTCTGCAGTTGATTTTCAGACAAAAAGTCCCAGGCTTTCAGGATTGTTGTCATTTCAGCCATCGGGATTTTCAAGATGGTCCTTTTGACAAACTCGGCAACAATTTCATCCATTTCTTTGGCACTTTAATAAAACAAAAACAGCACAAGCTTAACTTAATAGTTAATTTTTTTAAACATCATATTTTTAGCCTGAGATTTTGATTTGTAGGTCAAAGACCCAAATGTTTAATTTACTGTTTCTCAGGCAATCTGCAAAGTGTTTTCACAAGAGGACTTAATAACTTTCTCCTTAAGCTGTATATTTAAAAGTGTTTTAGAGTTTTAAAAAATTAGTGTTCTCTCTCTTTTCTTGACTAGAGTATTTTGTGAACTTTTGATGGCAATAATATGGAAATCATTCATTCATTTACTAATTCATGTAACAAATGAAGGAGCACTTATGCATGCTAGACACTTTTCTAGGCACTAAGCATAAATACATCTTAACCAAAAAGACACAAATCCTGCCAGTGTGGAGTGTTGTTTCTACTTGGGAGAGCCAGGCAACAGGAAAATCACAAAATGTGTTAGAAGTAGTACGTAAGCACTGCCCAACCAGGGTGGTTCAGTTGGTTGAGCTTCGTCCTTTGCACCAAAAGGTTGCCAGTTTGGTTCCCAGTCAGGGCATTTACCTGGGTTTTGGTTCAATCCCTGGTTGGGCAACTGATCCATGTTTCTCTCTCTCAGTCTCTCTTTCTCTCTTTCTCCCTTCCTCTCTCTAAGCATGTCCTTGGGTGAGGATAAAAAAAAAAAAGTGGTAAATGCTTCAGAGCAAATGGAGTAGTGTTAGGAAACCTGTACTAGTGAAAATGGAGCAGGCTGGGAGTGAGGTGGAGGTGGGGGTTGACAGAGTAGGTTCCAAAAGAGGGTGACATTTGAACCAATCCTTGGAGGAAAGTGAGCCATGTGGCCAGTTATTGGAAGAGCTTTCTAGGCAGAGGGAACAGCCTTGGGGCCTTCAAGGAAAAAGAGGCCTCCAGGGAGGACAGAGAGAGGCGCACAGAAGAAGAGGTGAAGTCAGAGATCATGGCCTTTACTGTCAGAAACCAGCTGCTGAAGGTTTTGAGAAGAGGTAGAATATGCCCTCTCTTAGTTTTTCTACCAGATCAATTTGGCTACTGTACTGAGAATGCAATCTAGGAGAGACAGAGGAAGCAGGAGGCCAGCTAGGAAGCTACCTCAATAATGTAGGTTACAGATGATGGTGGGCCAAAGAAGTGGTGAGCCAAGGTCAGATTCTGAATACACCTTTACACCTTTTTAAAAAATATATTTGTATTGATTTTTTTTTTTTTTAACAGAGAGGAAGGGAGAGGGATAGAGAGTTAGAAACATCTATGAGAGAGAAACATCAATCAGCTGCCTCCTGCACGCCTCCCACTGGGGATCGAGCCTGCAACCAAGGTACATGCCCTTGGCCAGAATCGAACCCGGGACCTTTCAGTCCATGGTCCAACCCTCTATCTACTGAGCCAAACCAGTCAGGGCTGGATACACTTTTAAGAGAGAGTCCTATGGATTAGATGTAAGGTGTAGGAGATACCAAGGTAACTGAAAGACTAGAAAAGCTATTACCTGAGATGGGAAAGACTCGTAGGGGCAGAGGAGAAAGCGAAAGCTCAAGAATTCTGTCTAGAATATGTAAATCTTAAGGTTAATTATTAGACTCTAAGGGAAGAAACTGAATAAACAGCTGGCTTTTTGAGCTAGCAAGACAGTAAGAGCTGGAAGTGGAGAGGAAAGAGGTCTCTTTCTCCTTTAATGCACTGCCAATTACATAGAGCCATTACCTCACTTTTCCTGCTTCTTGCCTGAACGTGAGGTTTTCCAACTGCTCAAAAGGTTTTGAGCCCCAAATCGAGTGTAGTTTCCTCCACAACAGACAGGGTAATGATCTTCCCCGACATAATTCAGTGTCTCTCTTAAAACAATGGCATACAGAAGGGGGAATCTGAGCTCTTTTTTCAGAGTAGAATCTATAGGCCAGGGATGACAGCTGATTTCAACTGTTACCTCAGTTGGAGATCATAATGGGCATCTTTCTCTCTCTTTCAAAATACATAACACAAAAGGCAAGAAAACATGACTTCTAAACAAAGATTATGTAGGATATCCACTAGGGTAGGAACTATGTTTGTCTTATTCATGGCTATCACCCTAAATGACAAACACTTGTGGAATGAAGTACTACGTCCCCTAAGCAGTGTGCTGAAGAGATAAACAACCTGGGAAGGACTAGGGTCCAACAGTCAATGAAACGCCAAAAGCAATGGGAGAGAGGGAGAGAGGGAGAGAGGGAGGGGGAGAGGGGGAGAGGGGGAGAGGGGGAGAGGGGGAGAGGGGGAGAGGGGGAGGGAGAGGGAGAGGGAGAGGGCGCGAGCGCGAGCGCACATATTAAAATACAGACTCCTGGGCCCTTTCGCTTTAACCTGGGGTGGGGAGGGTTGTCACCAAGTAGGGCTTGAGATTCTGCAAGTACTTCAGAAGATTCTAAATTTTGGGTAAAGTTTGTTGAATGCCATTCTGAAGCATTTTGGTAGAACGAGCGCACTTAATCTAACAAAGTTGGAAAACTCTTGAGTAAACTCTGATTCCCTGTGATGACCTAATTTCTTACTTCCTAGCATGCAGCTCAGTGCCTGGCTTAGAGAAGGTGCTCAAAGATATATTTGTTGAGTGAACGCACGACAAAAAAAAAACACAGCCCTTTAAAGTAATCTTCCTGTAGAACCGCACCGCTGAAGAGTTGCAACAAGGAGCATAAGAAGTAACGCGGGAGGCTGCATGGACCTAAGAGGATGGAAGCCAAGGTAGACCGAAAAATCAAAACACCCAACACTGGGCAAAAACATCAATCTAAGGATGGGCTAGCCGAGCAGGCCATCACGTGACCATTCGGAGCGGCTCAGCTATGACGCACACCTTCGTAAGTCCCGCCCCCCACAGGGGCGGATGTGAGGTCACGACCAAGCGTCATAGCCCTTTCCAGCCCCAACCGTAGTTCCAGCCCTTCGGCCTCCAGTCGAGAGCAAGCGCCAGTCCCTCGCCTTGGGGACCTGTGGCAGTCACAAAAAGTTGCCTCAGAGGCTTGGGATGTGGGATCTCAGGCCTCCCCCATCCCCTGCGGCCCGATTCCATGCCGTTAGGGGCTCTCTTACCGTCCACATCGCCAGCCGCCTCACTTCTTTCAGCTATTCCCGCCCGCTGCGCCTTCAAAGCCACCAATGGCAGTTCCCGCCGTCCAGAAGCCCCGCCCCTCGGGAGGGGGCGCAAATTTGGATTGTAGCCCCAGGGGAGGGGCCCGCGTGGGGGAAGCGGCAGAAGTGAAACTCAGCGAGCCCTCACGGCATTTTTCTCAGCAGAGGCTATTGTTTTAAATGAAGTTAAACTCAGCCACGACATCTGACTTGTTAGCTCAGCTTGATTTTTAGGATTTACCGTGCCTCTGTGGGCTGGCTCCCCCTTCAATTCCTCCCCAAATGGGCCCGCCCAAGCCGGGCGGCGCATGCGCCTCAGAGGTGGCGAGCGGCGGGGGCCGGCCCGGCGGGTCAGCTGTGGAGGGTGTAGTAGGGGCGTTCTTCTTGCAGAGCCAACCGGCTCTAGCGGGGCCCCTGGCAGCCGAACTTGGCGTGAGGCGTGTTCGCCGGTGAATTCCGCCGCAGCTCTTCTGGGGTGGCCGCGAGGAGGCGGGTGAGTCTTGGGGAGTCGGAAGAGCGCGCTCTCTCCGACCGCGGCGCCCGGCGAGGCCGCGGGACACTCGCCTGTCCCCGCTCTCGAGCGCCCCTCTGTGTCGCGTGTCCTGTCGGGACTTTCTGTTGCCTTTGGAGGTTGGGACCTGGAAGGCCGGCTCCTCGGGGCGGCCTTCTCACCTTGCGCCCGGGATTTTGTCAGAGCGGCTGCAGGGGAGTCCTGAGCTGTCCGCCCGCGGGCTCTTGCTGAGGACCTGCTAGTAGCTGAGGGCAGGCATGGCCCCGAGCTTTCCCTCTCCGGCAGCCTCTCCCGTCGCTCTGGAGCCTTCTGACCCAGGGCGGACTTCTCCCTTCCCTGAGCCTCGGCGTCCACGCCTGAAAAATGGGTATAAACCCATTGCATCGACTGTGAGAAGGGAAGTCCTTAGCACAGTGTTTGACACGGTGAGCGCTCCATACATTGCTATTGATGATGAATAGCAATAGTTTAGAATTTGCATGTAGAAGGTAAAAGCCTGTGAAGGCGCATCTCAGCTGCAGTGAAGTTGGCACCGATCCTTCTTGTGATGGGACAGTCCCGTAAGACACTCCCCATCCGTACATTTTTTCCCCCCAAGGAATGTTATATATCCCTTTTTTTGGGTTTAAAGATGACCGTGCCTGTGGTTTCACAAATAGGAGCTGTAAGTAAATCCGAGTTCTGGAAATCTTTACTTAAGTTTTTAAACGGATTAAAGAAGTTTGTGCTGGTAAAGGAATTTTGTTGTGACCCCCTTTGTCTCTCCTTTCCTATACATACAAGGCCTTTGCACTTGTTTAAGTTGATTTTAAATGAGCTTATTTTCATCCTTAAAGAAAGGTTGAGGTCTGAACCAATTTTCAAATCTATGATAGTCCTAATCTCAGCATTCAGCAGACAGTTAGTGAGCGTTTACTATGTGCAGGTATAAGGATAATTCCCTCATTAGCCTGTGTGTTCTTTGAGGTGTATGGACTAAATACCTCCACTTCTCCCCGAAAATTCAAGGCAGAGTGCTCAGCTTCTAGGAAGTGCTGATAAGTGTTCAGGGGAAGCTACAACTTGACCCATTCCTTAAGAGAGGATGTGAGGAGGTTGGGGTCCTGCAGCCCAGGGGCTGCTCTCAGTAGCAGTGGGGCACGGTCTGTACTTTGGGCATCCCAGTCACTTAGTAGCATTTGTTTAGATTTGGTCACTTTACAGCTGTGATAGGTATAAGTATTATAGGTAGGGTAGGTGGTCTACTGTTATCTGCTATGTCTGCTACCTCTGCTAAATATGGTGAATTATTTAAAATGATAGTTGGAGAAGTACTAATTTAATTGATTCCAGTTTTTTTTTTTTCCTCCTGAAATGTGAGGTTTTAAAAAAATACGTTTTAGAAATCTTTAAATACTGGTTTACAGGTTTTTCTGGAGAACAGTCTTTTCAGAGACTTGTGGTCCTGCTTTCTGCTTGTTTTAAAATGACATTAGGAGTTGCAACTGTAGTGTAAATTTATTTTTGGTGCAGCCACACAATAGCAAAATCCAAAGAAAACAAAAGTGGCATTAAAATAAAGGGGTTTCAAACTCTTTGTAATTATGGATCTGCTAAATGGTGTAATTAGGAGGCTTACTCCCTTTTCTTTATTAGTTATGTATCGCTTTACTCTTGGTTTATTTCCTGAAATTGTGCCATCTAGTGGTTAAAATCTTCTATCGTAGAATACTCATGAGGAATATTTTACCTCAAAAGTCTTGGTAAAATAAGGTAAAGGAGTACATATAATATGACTAATTTTTATATTGTCAGTGAGAGTACCCTACTGCTTCTGCCCGCCCAGGTTACCTCTAAATAAAAGTTAAAATTGCTTTTTAATATGCCTACTAGCAAGTTATCAAAACATCAAATTGTCACAGCTGAACAATTTTTAAAATTTCAGCTGACTATTTTGGTATCAATGTTTAAAGTTAAGGAAGTGGGTGGAGTTGGCATGGGGAGGGAAGTTTTGTAACTGTGACAAGTTTAACCTTTCTAATGTTCTCTAAATTCCAGTGGGACTGGTTTTGTTCTTTAAATGAAGTCCCCCTCTTTGTCACTGCAAACATCCATGCATGAAGGCTTATCACAAAGGAATATTCCATTCCCCTTTATTCCAGTGGTGCAGCTGATGTTCATAAGTACTTTGACACTACCCTTTTGAAATTGTTTTTTGTATTTTAGTAGTAATAGGTGTTTGTCATGTGAGTGTAAATTTTGTTTTTGGAATTGGCTTAAAGTCATTTAATTGTGAGTTTAGATTTGAGAAGAAACTTAAGAATGTGATGCCAGAATATACTCTATGGCATCCTTAACTGATGTAGCCAGTCCCTTTTGGGCATGTTTGGACAATAACCAAGAGCTTCATTGTTGGACAGCTCCATGAAGATGACTGCCTCTGTAATTTCCACCTTTTGGTTTATAGTCCTGTTCTTGGAAACACCTCAGAGTACATTCAGTTTAACCTTTTCTATTATGTGACAGGGCATTTCAGATAAACAAATAATACTTTACATATGTCACACACACTGTTCACTGTTTCAGAGAGTCTCGTATATGTCATTTTAAACCTTATGACAACACGGAGGTATAGGTTATGAGTTGATTCCCTTTTAAGAAAGAAGAGACTTAGGTCTCATATCAAGTAGACAAAGTTATATAACTTGTGAATAACTGAGTCCACAATTTTTGTTTTCAAAAGATTTCTTCCATCAAATCCATTGTTTGTCCAACTTAACCAAGTTGTACCTTTAGTCTGTCTCCTCTGTTGGGGACTCCCCTACATTGGTAAATATTGCCAATTTCACTCATGGTTTTCTGTTTAAATTCAGTGTCAGAACCATCACCATCCTGAGCACTCTCCTCAGGAATATTCAAATTGTAAATATTCTGTACATAGCTGAGGAGAATGAGTATAAGAGGATGAGTAACTCTTTTTCTTGTTGTAGACAGACCCTTTATTTCTAATAATACAGGATAATATTACCAGTATATTGACTTCTTTGGAAACTAGGTCCAGAATTAGTGCCTGTTGAACTTGTAGCCAAAAGGCTATTTGGGAAATAGTAGTTTTTCTGAGTTTATTTAATTCACAAACTCCTGGGAAGATATATCTTTTCTATTTTGAATGTGGGAAAAATATGTTGTGATAAGAGATTAACTGCTATTTACTTTGTAATTGGGGCTTAGTTTTGCCATGGAAATGTGGGTAATGTATATTTTGATCCACAAAAAGGCATTTACTTAAGATTCAACTGAATTTTCAAAGGCACTTCCTATAGTTATTGGGTGGGTTATTAGACTTGTGCTTAGCACATAGTGCTTTTTTTTTTTTTAAGATATATTCTATTGACTTTTTTTACAGAGAGAAAGGGAGAGTGATAGAGAGTTAGAAACATCGATGAGAGAAGAAATAAGTGAAGCAGAAATCAGATAACTGATACTAGACATAACAGTGTAGTGTTTTCAGTCTGGCTTTTTTTTCATTTAGCTTAGTGCTTTTGAGGTTCATCCACGTTGGCCCTTGTGTCAGTTAATTTATTTTAATTGAGAAATAGCATTCTATTGTGTAAATATACTATATTTGTTTATCCAGTTACTTGGTTATTGGACATTTGGATTGTTTCCAGTCTTGGCTATTATAAATAATGTTGTGAACATGCACATACATATCTTTGTATGGATATACAAGATGGGGCGAAAGTAGGTTTTCAGTTATATATTAATAAATAGTATAAGAATAAACTGTGTTTCATGTTACTCACAACTGTAAACCTACTTTTGCCCCACTCTGTACATTGGGTTTTAATTTCTTTTGAATAGATTCTTAGGAATGTAATTTCCATGTCATGTGATTAGTTTGCATTTAACTTATTAAGACACTGCCAATTATCTTCCAAATTATCTGTACTGCTTTACATTCTCCAGAGCAATGCATGAGATCCATTTTTCCCACATTCTAACCAGTGCTTGGTATTGTCTGACTTTTTGATGTAGTTATTTTGGTAGATATATAGTGATATCTCATTGTGGTTTTAATTTGCCTTTCCCTAATGACGAATGGTGTTCAGCATCTTTTCAAGTGCTTAACTAACTAGTCCTATACTACCTTCAGTGAAATACCTATTCAAATCTTTTGTCCATTATTGGACCCATTTAAAACATTGGATTGTGTGTAAGCGTTCTTTATTTTATTCTAGATATAAGTTCCTTATATGATTTACAAATATTTTTTCTTAGTCTGTGGCTTGTAGTAGATTTTATTTTTTAGAGGAGTTTTAGGCTGGCAGCCAAATTGAGCAAAAGTAGAGAGGTCCCATATACTTTTTGCCTCCACACACAACTTTCCTCACTATCAACATCCCCCATCAGAGTTAATATGTTTATTACAGTTGATGAATCTAAATTGTGGCATGCTTTTTAATTTTCTTAAAGGTGTTTTCGAATTGAGAAACTTTTTAATTTTGATGAGTTTTTTTCTTTTATGGATTGTGCTTTTTATGTATGTAAAAACTCTTTGCCCAATCTAAGGTCATAATTTTCTGTTATGTTTTCTTTCTTAGAACTTTTAAAAGATTAAAACAATTAATTGGTTCTTCCTTTCTGTAATCTTTCCCGAGTTAAAAAGAATTGGTTTAAAAAAGACAATAGGTATATAGTGATACATAACTGTAGTACACCTCAATATAATGCTTTTCCTTTGACTGTTGCTGCTAATTTTTTTTGTGAATGAACCAGTTAAACCAATTTCAGAGATTTCAGCTTCTTGTTTTCATTGTAATAATAGCATTTTATGAGTATATATACTAAATTAAAAAAAATTATATCCCATCTGCTTGTTGTTTCTTTTCATTGTTTAGTTAGATTTTCCTAGCCAGATGTTAGGAAGAAAGCAGTCTATATAAATTCACACTAATGTGAGATGACTGATTTTCCCTTTAATACTCTCAGATATATACACATTTTAAAAAGATTAATATGCCAGTTTTTTTAATTGGTAGAATTTCATCTGAACAGAATGAGTTGTAATCAGTTCTGGAATGTGGGGTTTATTAACATAGGCAAGCTGTTTCTGCTTGAGTGCTTATTTCTAGGATCTGTTCTATTGAGGAATCCTGCTTTTTTTCTGAACCTGCATGTTCTCTCAACTCTACTGATAAGTTACTGAATCTGTTAAACCTTTGGATAAGGAACTTGAGGCTCAAGTTTAATAATTTGCCTGAGGTCAATATTCTTTTCTGATAAAGGTTCTTACTAAAAATGTGAAAATAGTTGTAGGTCACATTAACAAATAAAGTCACAGACATTCAAGACACTCTTGTATCCACAGGTTGCTCTGCTGTCCTCCATCACCTTCTCCTAAAGATGCATCCTGACTTATCTCCACACTTGCACACTGAAGAATGCAACGCCTTGATTAACTTACTTAAGGAATGTCACAAAAATGTAAGAGTTCAGAAAAAATACCCTAAAGTACATATGAAGCTTAGGTACAACACACTGATGTAATTTAAATGTTATATCCACTAATGGAAGGGAACAGTAATGTCTTAGCTTAGTAAAGACTAACAACTGATGCTATGATTTTTTTTTTATAAAACACTTTCTTTTATGATTAGTAAAAATCAAGGATGAAAGTTTGTTAGAGATCTTTTGAAATGATATGTATTAATTAGAATCCATATTCTTACAATAAAATACTTTTCCTAATTACAGGGCACTAGAACAATATGTTCAGCCCTGATTCTTCTGATTATAATGGAATTAATCTAAGATTTCCTGTTCCTTGATGTATACCATTCTGTGTTTAAAGGAAATTGAAACATTTTTATAATTAGATATTAATTTAAATTATGATTGGCCTAATTTGACAAATTTACTCGTTAGTGGAATGTAAGTAAAATTCCATGGTTAAAAACAAAATAGAAAACCTATTTTTGGAATGCATTAAGTTGAGTTGATATTTTTACAGATGTTGAATATGTAGCTTTTTCCATATATCTGATGCATGAGATAGTTATAAGGGTCATTTGTGTTATTTTTTAACTTTGCATGATGCATTATTTTCCTCATGATATTTTTAAACTATAGACATACCAAATTATAATAGTAGTAAAAGTGATTTAAATGAGCAAAATTTTAAGACTGAAAGTAAGGTAGTAAGTAAAATCCATGACCTGTGAAGTCATGTATTTTTAATGGTTCAAAGAATTTGTTGATAATAGTAGGCAAACTATTTTTGGCATTCATTTAAATCAATAATTGATATTGTAAGTCTTAACTTTAGCCATTGTATGTACTATCACATGGTAGTACTATCTCTTTTGGTTTTAAATTATATTTCCCTAATGGCTATTGATTTTGAGTATCTTTTCCTTTGCTGATTAGCCATTTATATAAATCTTCTACCAGTATTTAAAAAATTGAGTTCTTTGTCTAATTATTGAGTTGCCAGAGTTACTTTTGTTGTTGAGCATACTTATCTTTTGTCTAATAAGTGTATTGTGAATATTTTCTCCATCTGCAGCATCCTTTTTCATTTTCCTGAGTGTGTTTCTGAGAGAAATTTGTAAATTTGATGAAGTCTAATTTACCAGTTTTTTCTTTTGTTTGTATTTTTTTATGTTCTATGGGTCTTATATATTTCCTGGTTGCAAAGATTTTCTATTTTTTGTGTGTGAGGAAGTTTCACATTTAGGTTTGTGATTTATATCATGTTTTAATTTTTGTGTATGGTGTGAAGTATGAGTCAGTTTCTTTCCCTATTATTCCAACATAACTTATTTATTTATTTATTTATTATTTCCCCACTAAATTTTCTTGGTGCCTTTGTAAAAATCAGCCAACCATTTGTGAGTGGGTCTATTTCTTGGGCTCTCTGTTCTGTTCCACTGAAATATACGTATATATCTATTCTTAACACCAGTTAATTCCGAAGTTGTCTTTGCTGAGGCCGAGTGGTCCCTGGACTCTTTTGTATTCTTTTCTGTCTTAATTCACTTTCCACGTTGCATCTAGAGTGATCTCTCAAATCTAAGTTTAATCATTATTCCACTTTAAAGGCTTCCTTTGTCTGTAGAATAAAATATTCCTTTCTTAGTTTGTGTTGCAAGATTTTCATGAAACTGGCCCCTACTTATCTTGTGGGCTTCACCACTGTCCTGCTCCTCTATTCTCCCCCTCATTCCTGTGTGTTCTTTCTGCAGTTGTACTGGAACATGTTTCTGTCTTATAAGCCTTTGCACTTGCTTTTTCCTTTGCTTGACTAAGAACCTTTCTTGAAATCTTCACTTCACACTTATTATCTTCTAGGTTTTATTCAGATTAATTTATCATTTCCTCTTCCTTCTTTCCTGGCCTAGATTCTCTTGGGATAATCACTCTGCACTCCCATAACACCATACATAATACATTTCCTACTTTATGGCAGTTGTTCTCACACTTTTTGTTCTCAGGACTCCTTAACACTTTTGTTATCAAAGGACCACAAAAACTTTGTTTATATGGACTATATCAAATTAATTTAGAAATTAAAAAAAAGTGACATTGCTTTTCCATTTTTACAATTCTTTTTAATGTCTGACTTAGTAGAATAGAGCTGGATTCTCATATCTGCTTCTACATTCAATCTGTGATGATGTTACACTTCTTGTAGTCTCTGGAAAATTGCACTGCACCCTTGTTAGAGAATAAAAGTGAACAAAACAAATAAGATTTTTGATTATTAGGAAAATAGTTTTTACCTTATGCATCTCCTAGAAAGGTCTTGGGAACTCCTGGATATTCCTGGACTATACTTTACAAACCATTGCTTTATAACAATCACTTCATTATTTGTCTCCTCCCTTTGACTATGTGCAATGAGAGTAGGGCCCAGGTTCACCTTGCTTACTACTGTATCCTTCTAGTGCCTGGAACATTGTTTTCCAGAAATTGATTGATTGACTGATTGATTTACTTATTCAATCAGTTACTTAGCTGGTTTAGTTCTCTAGAAATAGACATTAGGCAAATGCTATGTGTATACAAGACAATTGTACATGGACATGTCTTTTACCAATTCCACTTGGGCATTTTGGATTTTTCACATAATGTCACAAGAGTATAATTCTTATTTGGGCTTAATATTGAGGTAAAAACAAAATTATAAATTAGTTTTTTTTCTTGGATTTTTAAAATAAGATGTATGTATATGGGATGGAATAAATATAAGCTGAACTATGAAATATTGCCTTGCATTGTAAAAGTCTAATCCTTTCTGTTATTTCTATTTGACTAGAGGGGTGTGAAGCTGCATTGTCCCTGCTTATTTGTATTTAAGTAAAATACACAGGAAATATTTATTCTGAAGAGGTCATTAGGTGGCCAGTAGGAGCTCTTAGCCTATCTTAAATACTTGCCAGAAAAACTGACCATTTTCCAATGTGGACCAGAAAAGCATACTTAAAGTGGTAATGAATTAGGAAAAAAAAGTAATAGCATGAGGCATAGCTTACTAATTATGAGTTGCCTGGTTTTCATGAGAGTCTTAATTAGAAAGAAAAGGAAAAGATGTACTTATTATTTATGGCATTATAGGAAATCACCATGTTCTCCAATCTACCCTTAAAAATTATGACATGTAAGCACACTAGATATGGCCCTGCTAAAATTCAGCTTCTTGACTTCAGTCTTCATCTTAATCTGCTTTGGAACATACTTTTTGCCATGATAATAGTTATAGGACTTGAACCCACTAGGAGATACTTATTTTTGCTTTTCAAACCAAGTAGACTGAACTTCAGACATAGATTTCATTATATGTATTGTGAATTAGTGACTTATTTATGTGGCCCATGTAGGCCATCTAATAACTGTTCCGTGTTTTGGATTTGATAACATTTTGAATGGAGTCAAATGAGGAAATGACTTTGGCACCAAGCATTTATTTAGTAGCTCTTCTACATGACAGTGTGTTTGCTAGTGAAGGAAATTGTGTTAATATGGCCACACTGCTCTTTGACATTGCTCCCTGTAATGGAGAATGGATTATATATGATTTTAACATGCCTTTAAAGAAGGAGGTATTAGGAAATAAAATTGTTTACATACTGTCACTGAGATTTTGGCAAGTAAATAGACTTCCAGTTTATCAAGGGAAAGTTTGTTTTTTGTTTCAAACCTTAGAGCATTTATCCCTTTTTTAAAGAAAGGCCAGGATAAACTTGTTTATTTGTATATTTTATACTTGGGATTTAATTATTTGATTATTAGCAAAGTGACACATTAAACCCATAGAATTTAAATGCTAAGAATAAGCATTTAATTTCTATGTGCCAGAGAACATAGCCTATTATGGGATGAAATATTTTAACCCTTTTCTTCCTTTTAGCACAGCATTCTGAAATTTTTTGGTCATTGCAATGACCTTGATCGGGAGATGAGAAAATGCTTGAAGAATGAGGTAAGAAAAGTGTCAAAAGGATGGAAATCGTTCAACAATAGAAAAAAACATTTTAAAACAGTATTATATATTACCGCTGTTATTAACTCCCTTCCCCCTCCCCCCCCAATTTTAGTATAACATAGTAAAATAGACTTTATATGTATATCTATAACCTAGGGCAGAAATGGAAGCCTCTTCTGGGACAATTTTAGAATACTGCTGTTGTTTGGCATGCATATAAATGAAACAACCTCCTTTTTATAATCCTTGTAATTCCTCTGGATGAATTTTAAAGTTTAGGAAGTTGCCTTTGTACGCTATATGATTGTCTATGCCAGTGTTTCCCAACCTTCTCTCATGATGAGAATCACCTGGTGGAGTTGTTAAAACACAGATTCCTGAATCCCAACTAAGAAGTGCTAAACTAGAATTTTTGGGAACATATAGGTAAAATTGTATACTTAACTAGTGCTCTAAGACAGATTTTATATACAGAGCACTAAGTTAGGTATGCAATTTTACCTATATGTTCCCAAAAATTCTAGTTTAGCACTTCTTAGTTGGGATTCAGGAATCTGTGTTTTAACAACTCCACCAGGTGATTCTCATCATGAGAGAAGGTTGGGAAACACTGGTCTATGCTATATACCTGAAACTAATAAAAAAATAATATTGAATATAAACTGTAATTGAAAGAAAAAGATGTAGTGGTAAAAGAGGATTCTCTTCATTGGAATTTGATCTATAATTTAGTTTTTTAATAAAAGATATGTCAGTCAGCATTTGGCTACAGCAGGTAACTAAAACTCTCTGGACCTCAGTTTCCTTTATAACATGGTGAGGCTGGACTTAGGCTCTTGACAGCTTTAAAATTTTGAATTTCTTTATAATTATGGCATATATAAACCATAGGGATCTAGTTTGACTTATTTGGAAAGACAAATTTTCTGAACCCAATTTTAGGCCAAGATTTGAATTTGGGCACATAGTCAAAATACCTAATTCATTGTATTTTTATAGGCACTACTAACCAAGCAAAGTGCATTTTAAATATTTGAAAATAAATTTAATATTATTTTTGTCTCGAACATCAGGTATTTTATGTCTAGAACCTTTAAAAATCTATAACTACTAAAAATCTGCCTTCCAATTTTCTGTATCTTTGAAATCCCCCGCGCCGCCCCCCCCCCCCCCCCCATTAGCCTTACAATAAAAGGCTAATTTGCAAATTGTCCCCTTGGGAGTGTGCTGACCACTAGGTGGTGGCACAGAATGAAGGCTCTCTTTTGTCCCTCTTACTTGTGTTTTGTTTGGTTTTTGATTAATTGACCTTCCATTCTATCTGTGTTATTCAGTAGAGTTTTGTGAATAACATTATATTCATCCTTTTCTCTCTTTTTTTATTCAGGAACCATTTTGACTCGCTTTGGCAATAATCTTAACATATATTTTAATATAGACTATATTATAATTTGCTCTATGCTTATTTTATTGATTTGCTACAAAGTATTATCTTCAGAAGACTTACTCTTAAGACCCTTCTCTCAGCCTAATTGTTAGAGACATGTGATTAAAAATATCAAGCATTTTTCTCAGAGCATATATCTATTTGTCCATGTTCTGGAAGTTTTTTTCTCCCCTAAATGTATTTTTATATATTTTTATATATTTTTTTGATCAAGTCCAAAGTCTAGCATGCTCCCCATCAAACTGTGACCTCCTGGTTCATAGGTCGACACCCAACCACTGAGCCACATCAGCCAGGACCCTTAAAATTTTTAAAGCAATAAAACACACTTTTCCCTTAACAATGTTAAGAGGAAAATTAATCTATGGCAGATAAAAGGAATGGTTTTCATTAAAGGGACCTGGTGTTTCATCTATAATTTGAAGAGGCCCTTTGATGGGAAAGGAAAAAAAGTTTGAAACTATCACTCCAGGAGATATGTTAGAACCCTTCAATCAAAACTTTGGACTTAGAAAACTTCTTAAAGGTTATCTAACCCAACCCCTTATGTTTGAGGTTACTTGAGTCACACCAGGAGTCAGGGGAGGGGATCCAATCAAGTCTTGGTTAACTCTGTCACTAATCATTTGTTTCTGTGACCTCTTTCCATATTTCTGTTTCCTAAAAGATTTTGATGTCCAACAGTTCACATATACTCAATTTTCTCCCCTCTGCCTAGGTATTCTTCATTCACCTTTAAAATATGTCTGTATTTGTATATCCTATCTAACAAGGAGGGAATATGCTAATTGACTGTCACACACTCACAAAGATAGCGTTGCCCACAGCCAATAAGGAGGGATTATGCTAATCACTGCCACGCCCTCAAAGATGTTGGCACCCTCAGCCACAAGGTGGCGGCACCCAGTCCCCTCAGACCTGTCAGGGCAGCAGGCACACGGCACGGCTGGGCTTACCACCAGGGAGGTCCGGCTGCTCCGCATGCCTGCCTCCAGAGTCCCCTAGTCCCCGTAGCCCTCCAGCCGCCCAGGGCCAGGGCCAGCCCAGGGCCTAGACAAGCCTCAGATGGCAGTTGCCAGCTGCCCAGGGCTGCCCGAGGCTCAGTTAACCAGGGCTGGCCAAGGCTTGCGCTGCCACACGTGGCAGCAGCAGAGGTGTGATGGGGGTATCGCCTTCCTCTGATCACTGGTTTGCCTCCTGCCCCTGAGGACTCCCGGACTGTGAAAGGGGGCAGGCTGGGCTGAGGGATGCCCCCCCTTTCAGTGCATGAATTTTCATGGACTGGGCCTGTAGTATATTATAAGCCTCTACATATATACATATAAGAACACTTAAATTCAAGTTTCTCTGCTTTAAATAAATGCTTTTTAAAGTGCTACACTCTGTATGTCCTGTTATTTGTAACCTACTAGCTAGATCAGAATACTAGATTGAAAACATTTAAGGTTAAAAGTGCATTTAGATCCACCTGATTACAGAAACAGAATTTGGGGAGATTTGATTCATGACTGTTCATGATGAAAAAATCCTGGGACATTCAGCTGACTATAAGTTTCTATATGAATCAATAGGATAATATGGTTGCTAAGTACCAGTTACTCTTAAAAAAAAATATATATATATATATATACACACACACACACACACACACACATATATAGTTTATTGATTTCAGAGAGGAAGGGAGAGGGAGAGAGAGATAGAAACATCAATGAATCATTGATCAGCTGCCTCCTGCATGCCCCCTACTGGGAATTGAATCCACAACCTAGGCATATGCCCTGACTGGGAATCAAACTGTGACCTCCTGGTTCATAGGTTGACGCTTAACCACTGAGCCACGCTGGCCAGGTGAGTCAGTTACCCTTGATAATATTTATAGAAATGTAATGTGTTCAGGTCATAATAACTAGTAGGCCCATTGTAGTTCACATCTGTCAGACTACTTCTAGAGCACTTTATTTAATTCTGATTGTGATACTTTTTTTAAGTAGTATTGATATTAAAGTACTTCATAAAAGGTGCTTTATAGAGAAGATATTAGAAAACAGAAGCCATGTTCTGTGAACAGTTGTAGAAACCAGTGGTATTCAGCTTGCAAAAGAGATTGTGAATGGGTTATCTGTAATCAGTTACTTGAAAGACTGTAACAGGCAAGAAGAAATGAGGATAGCGGGATAATTTACTGGTTCAACATAAAAACTTGGGAACAGTTATTTGAACAATAATTAAGTACAATAGATAGCAAGCTCCTTATAACTACAATAGAAGTGTTCAACCAGTGGTTGGAAATTAGATTGTGAGTTTCTGGAGAATAGGGACAAAACCCATTTGTCTTAAATATTTACTGAATTCATATTTTGAGAGGAAATTAATTCAGTAAAGACTAAAGCATCTGTTAGGATGTGAATACTGTTCTGTAGTGAATGAACTTGTACTAGATAGCCTCTAAAGTCACTGTTTTCAATCTCAGATTCAGGGAAATAAAAGACAAGAGCTTTGTTAGCAAAACCATTTTTATTCTGCAAATATTTTATTTAATTGATATAAATGGTAATATAATCTACTTTTTTCTCCCCCTTCCTTTTATTTTCCAGTACATGGAAAAGAGGACCAAGAGCAGGGAGCTTGGCAATGCGATGCGAAAGAGACTTTCAAATCCTCCAGAGGAATCTGAAACATAAATTATATTATTACTGGATACCTTGGCTGAGAGAAGATCTGAAGACTCTTGGTTGATAAACCAAAAGAATCCTATCTCATTTGGTCTCCAGAATCTTTTGAATTGCAAGTGACCCATGAGAAATCGAGACATGGAGAAATAGAGAAACACTGGATTCAGAATATTTGTTGGGCAGAGCCTTTAGTACTCTGATTCCTTTACCAACACACCTGACTTTTAATGTGTTTCTTTACTTTGCCTACAGCCATTTAACATTTGAGTAATTTATCACGCTCAATAAAATAATTGACTTTACTCATATTTTCTCTGTTCTTTTAGACTCTCCTGGAATTAGAGAAAAATGGTCCCATTAGACTTTTCCTTTTGACAACATGGCAATTCTAGAGCTTAAACATAGATGATACAAGCTATGGCTCAGTGGTTAAGCGTCAACCTGTGTATCAGAAGTCATGGTTTGTTCCAGGTCAAGCCATATGCCTGGGTTTTGGGCTAGATCCCCAGTAGGGGACATGCAGGAGGCAGCCAATAGATTTTCCCCTCTCATTAATGTATGTATTTCTCCCTCCCTCTTCCTTCCTCTTTCTGAAATAAATAAAAACATCAAATAAAAAAGATACAAGCTAAGGCAAAAATTGAGGAAAATTCCCAGTTGTGTTAACTATATGAAAATGTTGCAACTCCATTGTTCTTAAAAGAGCTGTTTTCTAAAAGATTAAGTGTTTAACATTGATAAAATTACTTCTAGTTAGAATTGAAGTCTTGGTGGACTTTGGTTCTTGTTTGGTTGGATGTGCCCATCTGGATGCCAGTTAACTCCTGGGTATTAACCTTAGGCCAACATGCCTACTCCTGCTGGGTACAGGGCTCTTCTTCCCAAACTCACTTTTTAGCAGCATTCTTTCTGCCTGGTGTTTCTGAGACCTGTGAGAATCTGAAAGTCAGCAACATCCAGCCACATGACAGCATGGCTTGATCTTGTCAGATAAATTGTCAACTGACTGAACTATGAGCTCCTTCTATTGAAATCTTTGTGTTTAGCATGAGGCCTTGTTGGTGTCAGTGTTGAATAAGTGATTTCCATATCACAAGAGGTGTTCAAGAGACTAGACATTCATTCATTTAGTGAGGGGTTATGTGGAAGGTAGGTAGTTACACAGACATGAGCAGAGCAAGGATGATGGGCCAGGTACAGAAGATCACCAGGAAAGCCCAAGTGCCTAGCAACGGTCACTTGTAGGGTGGGACCTCACCCCCATGGGGACTTTTCTTCCCCTAGAATATCTCTGATCATGAGATTTGGACCCCTGACCTTTCCTCTCTAGAGATAATATCTAGGCCTCAGCAATATTCCAGCTCCAGGTCCAGAAAAGCAGTGACCCCATGGCTGACCTCAGGATCACTGCATTGAATAATGACCCCTGCCCTGGTGCCAGCCATTCAATCAATGGAGACCACAACCCTGAAAGGACACACCTGGAAAATTGCTGAATATTCTATTGAGATCTTTCCCTGGAACCTCCCCTAAAATTTCCACCCTTAAAACCCTTGGGATGTAGGACCCAGTTTGCTCCAAGGGCCCTTCCTTTACCTCTGTAATTTGTTTCCTAAGTCCATTTCTTTTAGAAATTGTTTGTTCTACCTCTGACTTACCAAATAAATGCTCTTTTATCATTTGGGTCTTGGCTCTGAATTCTTTCCTAAGAACCCAAGTACTGAGGTTGTTGAACCCAGGATAAGTCTGACCACTTCTGGTCAGATACCTGGTGCTGTTCTGCTGCCTACAATGGTTACACAGGATAACAGATATTTGATGAAGGGTTGGAGGAAGAAGCAGAAGTTATTTTGAGGTCACTTTTAAGATGGAGGTTTACAAATATCCAGTCGTGTTTTCCCTTCTCCCGCCCTCCATGTCTGGCAGTACAGGTACAGAAATGAGACATTTTGTCCTTAGAAGCTTGTCGTACTGACAAGTTGACTATTACAGTAGTGTAGTAAGTGACATGATTAGGTAGGTGTCAGAGAAAACAGGGCACCCAGGCCCAGCCTTCAGGAAGAAGGAGCCAAGCCAAGAAAGCTACTTAGCACAGGTGGCCTTTGACAAATGAAGTGAAAATGGAATACATTCTGGGAACATCAAGTCATTAGGCATGACTGGAATATGAGAACTGTTGGTGGAAGAAGATCAGAAATGTCTTTTAATTTTGGAATTTTTTCTTCAGTGCTGAAGTGACCAGTTGCAAATTTTAATATGATGATTTGTATTTGTAGAGGGGGCTTAGGAGAGGGATATGTTTCAACTTGTATATGTAGTAAGATTTTCTGATTGTAGTTTTGTAACCGGACATTCATTGGGTCTGGGCTCCCTCTCACTACTTGAGCCAATTCAGCAGAGACAGGGTTGAAATCGTATATGAGCATTTATTCCAATAATGCCGGCAGTATGGGAGAGCAGCAGATCATTCACAGAAACCTGCTCTGCAGCCCCCACATAAGCCAGCTGCTTTTATTTTTTTTAATTATTTAAAAAATATATATATATATTTTTTTTTACAGAGAGGAAGAGAGAGGGATAGAGAGTTAGAAACATCAATGAGAGAGATACATCGATCAGCTGTCTCCTGCACACCCCCTACTGGGGATGTGCCTGCAGCCAAGGTACATGCCCTTGACCAGAATCGAACCCGGGACCTTTCAATCCGCAGGCTGACGCTCTATCCACTGAACCAAACCGATTTCGGTAAGCCAGCTGCTTTTATAGCGTAGGAAAAAGATTACATGGGGAATAGGCAATGTGGGTTGGGGTGAGATTCCATTATTTGGGCAACAAGGTTGTTAATCTTTCCATGATAATAGGCACTTGTATGAGAATGCACCACATTCCAAGGTTGACTCCCAGGTCCAAGGTTGACTCCCACAGCCCTGGGTCAACTGCCAGTGAGGTTAGAATGTCCTTTCTTTAACCAATGCAAGGCACTCATCGTTAATAGAGCATGATTAATATTTCCCATAACCATAGCTGGTCCCCAATATTCTATATTTGCTCCTAACAGTTTGGAGATTACACCCACAGAGACCAATTAGATTTTATCCTAATTTAGGTGAAAAATTAGGGCATGAATTAAAAGAAGTGTGTCTTGGGGAGCAAGAGCAGTGACTAGTTGAATATATATCTATATCTATATCTATCTATATCTATCTATCTATCTATCTATCTATCTATCTATCTATCTATCTATCTATCTACCTATCTACTTACCTACCTATCATCTATCTATAGCCAGCAACTGTATGCAGTAATGACCAGAATGACTGGTTGATATGATGCCCACTGTGGCCAGTGAACCGGCTCAATCAAGGTGGGGCTGGCTGGCCAAATTCCCTCGGCCCCTCCCCTCAGCCACCCTACCCCTGATTGGCCTCTCCTACCTTCAATCAAGGGGTGAGGCCGGCTGGCCAACCTCCCACAGCAGGCCCTGCTCTTGATTCCCCCCTATACCAATAGGAGGCGGGGCTGGCCCGGGAGAGGGGTCAGGAGGTTGGCCGGCTAACCCCACCCTCGATGAACCCTACCACCCCATAGACCTGAGGCCCCTCTCCCAACCAACTCTGCCCATGATCAGCCCCCACACTCCCATCAGGGGCAGGGCCGGCCAGCCAGCCAACCACCCGTGACCCCTCCCCAAGGCTGCTGGCCTCCAATCAGCCCCCTCCCACCCCATTCGGGGTGGGACCAACCAGCTTACCACTCGCAGTCCCTTTCCATGGCCGGCTTCAACCCTGATCAGCTCCCCCCCCCCCCCCCCCAACACATTGATTGGCTTGTGGCCTCTCTCCCCAGCTAGCTCTGCCCCCGATTGGCCCCCCATACACACCAATTGGGGATGGGGTGGTCAGCCAGTCTCCCATGGCCCCTCTCCTGGCTGCTGACCCCTATCAACTCCCCCACCCCATTTGGAGGCGAGACCACCCACAATCCCTCCCCACAGCCAGCTCTTCCCTCATTCGGTCCCCCCACCCCAATTGGGGGTGGGGCCTGCCAGGCAATTACCCCCCCAGCCCCTCCCCCAGCTGCCCCGGCCCTGATTGGGCTCTGATGGGGCAGGCTGGCTGGCCAACTTCCCACCATCTCCTCCTTCTCCTAACAGGCCTGGCCCTGATCTGCCTCAATTGGGGCTGGGCTGGCCAGATGCCACCCATGCACGAATTCGTGCACTGAGCCTCTCTCTCTCTCTCTCTCTCTCTCTCTCTCTCTCTCTATATATATATATATATATATATATATATATATATACATATATATACACACACACACATACACACACACACACACACACACACACACACACACACACACACACACATATATATATATATATATATATATATATATATATATATATATATATATATATATATAAAAGGCTAATAGGCTAAGTGTGCTTCCCTCTGTTTGGGTAATGATGTCACACAGCAAAGCCCAGCTTTCTCTCCTTAGCGACGACTAGCCTCCTTGCAGTTTCTTCAGCCCAGGAACACACTTTATAGCCAGGTGGAAACACTAACCAAATGTCTGTGAAGCATTTTCCTGTGCCTCATCTCATTTGATCCTCACAGAAGTCCTGGAGTAGGTAGATAGGAGACTGGGTGGAATCCTATTTTCTTTTCATTAGCTAGAAAACAGATACTTAGAAAGCTTAGAAACTTGACCTGACTGAAAAGGAGTAAGAAATGGTGGACCTTGAAAATGACTTTAGGTTTTCTCACTGCAGTCAAACACTGCTGCAATTAAATATCTTATCCTTTGTTCTCCCTGTATGCTCTACAATAATAATCTACTTTGTGTTGATATTTACTGCTCTGTTGCTGACAATTACCTGAAAGAGAGGTTGGGTTGCTTCACTGGGCTGGAAAAAGTTTAGCTAAATTAGAAAGCAGGTCTAATTAAGCAAGTTTATTATATATATATATATATATATATATATATACACACACACACACAATATATATATAAAAGGCTAAGTTGACTCATGCATGCGTGATACATATAAAGCTCTTGGCTGGTGCCAATTGCACCTGTGTGTTTCAATCTGTCATTGTCAATCGTGAATTTGGTTGACACTTCTATTAAAGAGAAAGGGCGAATAGTGATCTTAAAATATTTCTTCTAATTAATTTCCTTTCAATGTGCACAAATCTGTATACTGGGCCACTAGTTGGAATATAAAATCTGCATGATTGATTTGTGCTTTCCTGCTGAGGATGCCCTCCCCTGCCCTTATGGGAGCAGGTATAGGGGAGGT